TCGTTCTTTCCGAATATATGTTCAAAAGGTCCAAAATAGTGGTTGTACAGAATACTATTTCAGTCAATTTTTGTTCAATCTTACCTTGGATGGAAAATCTAAAAATATATTCGAAAATAGCGAAAAATTCTATTGCTAACTGACTGTTTCTGTTTTTTAACAGTTGTCTTTTAGTGACTGAAAAATGAGCAAATATTTTGTGCTGAGACTTCTGCGTTTTAAGTAAGTTATCCCATATTTTTTGACATATCTATTTAGATTTGGTTTCTTTTTCAGCAATATTCAATAGATCTTTGCAGATTTTGATATCTAAAGTGATTTGAAGAACTAAACTAAATAATAAAAACTAGTTTTTGAGTTCAAAATGAACATTCTTTTAATATTAAGGTGTTTATTTTCAGAAAATATCCAACATACTGTTTTGAGAAATGACATTTTCCATTTGAATGATAAAATAAAATTAACCAGATATGTATTATCATGACAGTAATCATTAAAACTTAAATAATTTTTTTTTTGCTTTCTAACGTCTTTCTATTGACAAACTAGATGATGATAAACACGAATTGTTTTCTCATTCATGATAGCAATTCATTCAGATGGTATTGATTGTGTGCTTGACCAAAATTGTATGCTGTATAGTCACTTGGATCACACAGTAAATCTCAGATAATTATCATGTTTCAACATTGCTAGACACAGACAGTACTAGAATGTTTTTAGTTAGACCAGTTTTCGTAGTACATAGTTTGCAGTCGTATATCAATTCTATGAGCATTAGAGATTGAATCAGTTCGGCAATTCTAAAGAGATATTCTATTTAAACTTTTGAATATACTAATTAAAAATCATTCAAATCATGATATCTCATGGAACAGTACAACTGACTGATTAAGAAAATCTTTGATAACACTAAGTAAACATATTTTCAACTTGATTTATTGTTAAAGATATGATTGAATTTATAATAGTTTACGAAAAACTTATCATATAAAATCACATGCATATATAAATTACATCAAAATACTTTTCACTGATCAAAATATTAAAATGAACAGACTGTCCCATATCATCAACACATAAAACTAATAATTATAAAATTTCTCAAAAGATATTTAATAATTGAAAATATATCTAAGTGCACATTCAATTGACTTTCATTGGTAATAATCGTTCTTAATGTGAAGCAATTTCTAGAATTCGACATATTCTGCATTTCACATGTCGACGACATTATTGGCTATTGTCAAAATAATTTGAAACAATCTATAATTTAATATCTTTTAAAATATTTTTCTAATATTTAATAAAACATCCGTTTACATCCTTTTAATATTGTATAATATCTATCGTGATATTCTACGAGTATTTCTGGAATGAAAAGAAACTTCTAAGATATGTTGTTTGATAATTTAAAAAATCAATTCATTGTTAATCATTAACTAAGACTTTAATAATTTATTTTCAGCTTGAAAATAGTATCAAACGAGAGAATCATCTAAATTGTTTACCCGCTGTTTGAACTCATATTAGACTAGAATCCCCCATCAGGTTTAACTAGGAGTGTCCAGATCTGAAAGTTTCTTATTCATTTGATCGGAGTCCTGGTCTGGTAATTTTCTATAGACCGAATCTGAAATCGGAACTGAGCCAATGAATTATACTCAAAAAGTAACAATCAATTATGAGTTAATCCTTATAAGATTATCATCAAGATTGTCTCAGAAATATGTAGAGTATATTAGTAGCAGAATACAAATAAAACGATAAATTAGTATCTCGCATGGTCGCAGCGACTTGAAGACTCAGACTAAAAACATCCATTGAATTAGGCCTACAGTTCGTGTCCTGGTCTGATTCTGAAAATTTTGAACTCGACGGACTTAATATTTGATCTACAATAATGTCCTGGGAGGCATTGCACGTAAGCGACGACCAACATTGCTCAATCGATCTCACCGATTTGGCTGATATTTTTACAGAAGGTAGACCTAACAAAGTTAAGAAGAAACGGAAAATTTCAGCTCAAGCAGATGAGCCACTCTGGAGATATAGACGTCCCAAGTACAGAGGGGTCGGGTATTTTTGGAGTACCTCATACTGCAATACTTTCCAGTAAAGTTTTGTTTTCTAAACAACAGTAAGAGTTATAACGAAGATTTTTTTATTATAGATACTATCAATGATGGACTATCGTTTCATGATATTGAAAGTGTCTTATCATCTAATAATTTAGGGCTAGTGTTATATACCATTTCCAGAAAGCATATTCACGTATATAGGGCAACTTGGTCAAATCAGCGCGCTAGACCAGCTCGAGACTAATCTCATTTGAAAGAGCACATCAAACTGCATCGAATGGCGTTTTCAAAAGTTTGTAGAAATCAACTTTGATAGCAAAAAGTTTTTGAACAAGACCAGAAAGGCCAAATTTGTGGTCCGATTCTGATTATGAAGGTTGACGATTCATTATCAAATGTACGATTTAAAGATTTCAGATGAAAGCCCGTGTCAAGAAACCTCTAAATTCAAAATTTCAGCTCATTTGAACATGTCTGTGAAAAATGATGAAAGATTTATTTTTGTGAAATTTTATAGCATAATATAAATTTTTCTATTGCTCATATTTCAATTAAAGTACAATCAAAAGATCTGAAATTTTTACTATACACTATTCTCCTCAAGTCCTTTATATGCGCAAAGTTTCAAGGCAAAATTCGAGATTTGATTTTTTTCATGATCCTGAGAGGGAATACGGCAATTTTTCGGAAAAAAGTCAAACTTCGGATTTTGGCCTGAAACTTTGCGCATATAAATGACTTGAGGAGAATAGTGTATGGTAAAAATTTCAGATCTTTTGATTGTACTTTAATTGAAATATGAGCAATAGAAAAATTTATATTATGCTATAAAATTTCACAAAAATAAATCTTTCATCATTTTTCACAGACATGTTCAAATGAGCTGAAATTTTGAATTTAGAGGTTTCTTGACACGGGCTTTCATGTGAAATCCTTAAATCGTACATTTGATAATGAATCGTTAACCTTCATAATCAGAATCGGACCCCAAAGGCGACGACAAGTTTCAGAGTAATTATTGGCCCCAGAACTGGACATGTATAGAATTGTAGAGGAAGACGTGCTTCATCCAGTAGTATGCTTATTATGAAATTCTATTGTGCACCGTCCAAGAAAAATAGGCGACAAGGTATAAGTTTCATAGATTTTAGAGCTTTCCGTTACCAGAATCAAACAAGTAGTATAAGATCAATCTAAAACGTACTCCAATTATATGAGTATCATTTCACGGTTCACGTTCTTTACTTTCACAGTGATAAACATACTACTGGATGGAGCACATCTTCCTCCACAATCCTACATATGTCCCGTTCTGAGGTCAATTCCTTGTCGTCGCATTTCAATTGTTAAATTCTAGCTAGGATGACAAACACAAGGCTATGCTTAACAACATAAATACAGTAAATACCTTTTTTAATTTATACGGACATCAAAATCCCGTAGTGATTAGTGCGAGTCAAATATCGCGAAGATACTAGCACTCGCTGAATTATGGTTTAGAGCAGTGATAGCGTAAGACTTTGAAAGGTTGTGTTATCCAAGAGTGTTTCAGATAGAATCTATTAAAAGCTGATCCTCTACGTAAAGTATCGAAAAATCTGTAATAATCGTATGTCCGTATGAAAGACTCTTGTTTTACTATGCAAGTTATACGGAATATCACCGATCAATAATCTTAGACATATTTTAGATTATTTCTTCGTAATATTAATCGTATTACATTTAGTGCTTACTACTGCTTTTAGAGAGGTGTTTTAAATGTCCTCTTTTGATTTATGAGAGCTGCAAATGACTAGTTAATACTTCTGTCAAACTGTTCATGATATATTTAGGCGTATTCAATTCTAGACTGGGAGCAATTGTTTTAGTTACTAATCATAGATTTCGCCAGAATGACTACTCATTGGATGGAAACTGTCTCTTTCGTTCTTTAAACGCTTGATCAGTGTATTACAAATGTCTATTCCTGGATGACTCGTCTTATAACATAGTTACCTCTCATTTTACAAGATCTTATACGTTGAGGAAATGAAAAATTTAAAATTCATCCTTCAATCGGTTCTCTCTTATCTTATATAGTTTTGGTTTACTCACTGTACTTTGCTGTATTTCATCTGTACATTGGACTGCAAAGTCTCACTTTTCCGCTTGATTTCCGCTTTATGAGCTGTTGTCCCAGATTCTTTTTCGAACACTCACATCTCATTAGGAACTACATACTGCGCAAAGGCTTGACTGAAGAGCCACTGATCAATCTTGTGTCTTCCTTTTATTGGCTTAGATAACGTTCTATGATTTCTTGTTCTATGTTCTGAAATCCAATAAATAGACTATCTTCCAGTTCATTTTGTCAAGATCAATTTCAGTTGAACTCTTAATATAGCTTTATTCCAAATCGATTTGTCTCGTTTGTTGTTTCTACAATAAACTAGTTGTTGATAAATGATATTGGGAAAACAAGATCATATACTGTTACGATCGTTGCATCAATGCAATCATTTCTATCTATTCTTCACTAATTTATTGACAGTGAGAAATTTCCATAATGGACAATTTTATAGAGAAATATGATATTCATTGTTAGCATTCCTTTGTTTATTCAATCTCGACACAAGCAACTGGTAGACAAAATTTATTTATTTTTTAAAATGATTATAAGCGTATCCTCAGTATTCGTTTTATTGACAAGAGAATCTTTTGAATGTTCACTTTTGCTCTTCCGAAAAAGGGAATCAGAAGCTAAGTGTATTCATCGAAATTCTACGTTCTATTTTTTTGTTTCTTTTCAAAATAAAAATAAAATAACAATCCAGAGAAAAAGAAGCAACAAGTATGATATGACTTCAAGAACTTCTTCAACAATAATAGTTTCATCTTTATTCTGTACCATAGTCGATTAGTTCTTAATCATAATAATTACTAGTTCCAATCAATTATCTATGTAAATAAAAAACAATATTTAAATATTGCCAATCTCCCAACACTAAGATTTTTATCTTACAAGTTCTGATGAAGGTGTATGTTGTATTGAAGTAATTTCATCAAGATATCTTTCTGTTTATTGCTAACCGAGAGTTCCACTTTATTTTTCTTTTCGATGTATTCGATGAAATCGTCTGGTGTGTATTCACCAAAAACTAAATCATCAATAAAGTGCTCAATAAAACCATGTACTGAGTAGTTTCTCGTTGTTTTTGCTATTAATAATTCAACCATTTGCATTTTTGATAAACTAACAGCATTATCAAATTCAACGATCACATTACTAACTAATTGCGTAGGCTCATCGTCAATATCCAACCCATACTTGATGTTTCTTAATACATATGGTTTATAATGGTCCTTTATATTATATGATGTTGGTGAAGGCGTGTTCCTCATTTGTTCGTTTCTTATTCGAAATGCTTCATCAATTCTGTCAATAACTGGCTGTAACAAATGAGCATATACTGATGCCAATACCTTGTCGCCTGTATTTTGTCTAGAACAGATCATTGGAAAATGTGTAAATAAAAACAAGATCGACTCACTTAAACTTCGAAAATTCATTTTTCAAATCAAGAACCACAGTTTGTAATGTGCTGTGACTAATCGTCAATTGGTCCAACTTGTCTAGTAGTTCCCGTTCACATTTTTTCATGTTTTTCATGTCATTTCGCATAACGGCCATATCGTACTGCAATCAAAAAATGTAGGAAATGAAAACAGGTAAGTATCATGTTTACCAATATCTTATATCCAATTGTTTTAATACCATTGATAATTTCTTCCACCACCTTCATTTGTTCTTGATTCAGTTCCATTGACTTGATGAAGGTTTGAAGTTGATCCATAACTTGATTAAATTCTGTTTCATCAGCAGATTCATCTGTATTACTACTTATCACCGCTTTCAACTTCTTAAGGTAAACAATACAACTTGCTGGTACCTGAGGCATTTCAATACATATTGCAAATATTTCATCAATTAAATCATTCAACTGGTTCACTACAAATATAAAGCAAATCTATATATAACTGAGTTGTTTATTGTGAACTTACCATATTGTATTCGAACTTTGTCATCTTTCTGAAATTCCTTCTTGCTTTCATCTTCTTTGTTCTTGTTTTTGTGTACTCAAAAAGTGAGTACACTACTAAAATCGGTCAGTGTGTCCGGCCGTCCGTCCGGCCGTCCGTCCGTCCGGCCGTCCGTCCGTCCGTTTATCCGGTAACTTTCGAAAGGGGAGTCCGATCGCGATGAAATTTTCTACACAGTTCAGCCTTAACAATATCTCGGTCGAGTTCGAAGATGAGAAGGATTGGCCGAGCCCTTCCTGAGTTATTGCAAAAATACTCATTTTTTCCTGCACCTTCCCTATGGAAAGATCGACCCATCCCCACTTTCGTAAAAGACTTTTCCTATCATAGTCAACTAAAACCCCAACTATTATATACCATTCGATAGAGAATTTCACGAGCTACAAAATGGTATATAAAACATAAAGAAACAAGAAGGTTGGCTCATCTATCACAAAGATAATTAAACAGAACTAGGTTAGATTTTTGTCCACGATCTAATTGATCCACAAATAGAGCTCTATCTTCCGATCACAGTGATGATACTTCGAGGTTTTCTGAGATGGAGAACTCGAATCTGTATTCCACTTCCATCGAAATACTATTGGTTGAGCAGTGACCAATAGAAATCAAGTTATAGGAAAAACGACTTTCTTAGGGTAAATCAAGGGGAAGAGTTCAAATTTGAGCTGTATTCGGTCCCAAGTCCTATTGGTTTGGCAATACTCAATAGAAATCAACAGTTTAGAGGGTAGGTTCCCCAGTATAATTTTGATGTCCACACGTTCTAGAACGACTCATCTGTCTCATTCACTTTTTGAAGTACACATAACTCTCGGATTTAAATCCGAAGTTTCCGCATTTATGCTATTTAGAATAAATTCGATTGATTTTTTTTTACTATTCTTTGTTTTATTTTTATTATCGGTTTTTTTTGTTGTTGCCCATTAAATTGGTATTTCTATAATAAATGCAGCTTTTGTTTAGTTGTTACTAAATACTTTTATAAAGTCTTCAACTAACCTTTTGAAATCTATACTCTATGTTCAAATAAAAATTTCGTTTGAATCCAAACAAATAACTTAATTACTCTAACTAAACGTCAATGAGACGATATATCGAGTGAAAAGACAAGAACGAAATCTAAAAAAACAGAATATTGGTAAACAAACAGAAATGTTTTATTTTCATGTTGTTGGTATTGAGGAAAATCAAAAAATAGTATGATTTGTTTATTTCATCCAACACCATTGTTGATATATACAGTGACTACCAAAATTATCCGACAAGATGAAATTTGGATTTTATTTCGTAACCGAAAGTGCTAGAAGAAATCCAAAAATTGATTTGAATAGAGAAATTTGTTTTCCATAAGAATATGATAAAATGATCATTTTCGATAAATCCTCAAAAACTGAACATCCAAAATACCAAAATCTTGGTTTTTCAACACTTCGAAGTCGTGAAAAAACGTCCTTTTGTTTTTCTAGATCGATAGACCAGCCGGTTCTCTACAAAATGAGATGTCTTCGAACTTTCTACAATCTTCCTATCACAAGCTATAAGCATCACAAAAACCTAAAAAAATGTGAAATTTATCAGAAAACTACGGAAAAACTGCATTTTTTAGGTTTTTGTGATGCTTATAGCTTGTGATAGGAAGGTTGTAGACAGCTCGGAGACATCTCATTTTGTAGAGAATTGGCTGTTCTATCGATCTAGAAAAACAAAACGCCGTTTCTTTCACGACTTCGAAGTGTTGAAAAACCAAGATTTTGGTATTTTGGATGTTCAGTTTTTGAGAATTTATCGATAATGATCATTTTATCATATTCTTATGGAAAACAAATTTCTCTATTCAAATCAATTTTTGGATTTCTTCTAGCACTTTCGATTACGAAATAAAATCCAAATTACATCTTGTCGGATAATTTTGGTAGCCACTGTATATCGATTAACCTCCCTAGTTTTATTGTTGAAAAGATGTCGCGGGTTGAATAGCAACTATGATTGAAACTAACTTTTTCTCACTTTTCTATCGTTGACATCTTTTTTTGACACCAAGCAGACTAGGCAAAATGAAGCCAATTACGACTGAATTAACAAATCAATCGTCTGCAAAAGACAATTTAAATCGGAACAGACGAATCACGTTGGCTAATTGCTTCTATTTTTTTCTGTCTGCTTCACCCCATCGTCTCCTATTGTCAGTATTGTTTGTTCTAGTGCATCGATAGGACAAATGTATAGCTAAACATCCGTAAATACCAAAATGCATTTACATGTCGCTTGTTAGAATTTTAAGAAAAATGGTGAATGAACTGTGGTATTGGTTAATTCCAGTTAATCAATAGTAAGACTCGAATGAATCATACTCATTGTCACTCTCTTCTTTTACGATTGTTTCTTTTATCAAATAAATAGTATTGTATGTTTTAGCTTTCGACTAGATTTGATTAAAGAAAACTCGAAATGAAATATAATGAGTGAACCTCCAACAAGTTGGGATCTTCCCGAAGAAGAGAATTCATCAATATCATTAACAACAACAAGATTAGCAGGATTAAATGTAAATGTTGCTGACTTTGTCTCTTCATTTGCATCGAAATCAACCAATGTTTCAACGTCACAAGTACCTAAAACTCCTCCATCGACTCCTGTTGTTGTTCGACATAGACATGAAAATCAAAGTAATCAATCTAAAAGTGGAACTATGAACACAAATAATATTGAATCCGAAGATGTACAACAAATGGAAGAAGATTTTACAGAGAGAGAACAAGATCAATTTCCTGATGATGATTATGACAGTTCGTCATGTTTTTTTCATGCTTTACAATTTGATTTATTTGTTTATTAAGAAATCATGGATGAGTCAAACACAACACCGACAGCAGCAACAACAACAGCAACAGCGACAAGTAAAACAACTTGAAATAGTGGTTCAACAATTCCAAAAGAAAAGAAAAATGTTGTCGTTAAGCGAGATATTGTCAGAAAAAAAAGAATCTGTTAATATTGTTTTTTGTGGACATGTTGATGCAGAAAAGTCAACGATTGGTGGACAAATTATGTAATACTTGATTGGTTTCATAACAATCGAATTTCTTTTTTTTCGTAGGTTTTTAACAGGACAAGTTGATAAAAGGACATTAGAAAAATATCAAAATGAAGCTCGTGAAAAATCTCGTGAATCCTGGTATTTATCATGGGCATTAGCTACAAATGAAGACGAAAGAGAAAAAGGAAAAGCAGTTGAAGTTGGTCGAGCTTGGTTTGAAACAGAAAAAAAAACATTTTTTATATTTTTCTTTTTTCAGCCATATTCAATAGATCTTTTCAGATTTTCATATCTAAAATGATTTGAAGAATTAAACTAAAAAACAAAAACCAATTTTTGAGTTTAAAATGAACATTCTTTTAATATGAAAGTGTTCATTTTCAGAAAATATTCAACATACTGTTTTGACAATGATATGTTCTATTTGGATGATAAAATAAAATTGATCAAATGTTTACTATCATTACAATAATTATTAGAATATAAATAAGGTTTTTTCTTTCTAATGTCTTTCTATTGACAAAGGGTCTTAAACTATCAATAATATTGTATTGACATAATCTTCATTAGTAATATATTCTTATGATTTCAAATGCAAAAAAAGAATAATATTTTTATTTTTATTTTTTTTATACTGATTGGTAGTATTTAAATAATAATACAAAACGAATGGATGATGATAAACAAGAATTGTTTTCTCATTCATGATAGCAATTCATTCAGATGATATTGATTGTGTGCTTGACCAAAATTGTATGCTGTATAGTCACTTAGGTCGAATAGTAAATCTTAGATAATTATTACGTTTCAACATCGCTGGACACAGACAGTACTTGAACGTTTTTAGTCAGACCTGTTTTCGTGATACGTAGTTTGTAGTTGTATATCAGTTTTATGAGCATTAGAGACTGAACCAATTCCTCAATTTTAAAAAGATATTCTATTTAAACTTTTGAATATACTAATTAAAATTCATTCAAATCATAGTATCTGATGGAACAGTACAACTGACTGATTAAGAAAAGCTTTGATAAACACTAAGTAAATATATTTTCAACTTGATTGCTTTTTAAAAATACGATTGAATTAATATTACTGGCTGTCAAAGATGGATGTATGACAATTTATGAAAAACTTATCATATAAAATCACATGCATATATAAATTACATCAAAATACTTTTCACTGATCAAAATATTAAAATGAACAGACTGTCCCATATCATCAACACATAAAACTAATAATTATAAAATTTCTCAAAAGATATTTACTAATTTAATAATTGAAAATATATCAAAGTGTATAGTCAATTGACTTTCATTGGTAATAGTCATTCTTAATGTAAAGCATATTGGACTAGAGCCGCCTGTCGGGTTGGTTCTGGGCTCGTTTGGGTTTAACTAGGGTCGGGATCTGAAAGTTCCCTATTCATTTGGTCGGTGTCCTGATCTGGAAATTTCCTGTTGACCGGATTCGGAACTGGGACTGACCCAATGGATTATACTCAAAAAGTAACAATCAAGTATGAGTTAATCCTTATAAGATCATCATCAAGATTGTCTCAGAAATATGTAGAGTATATTAGTAGCAGAATACAAATAATCGATAAATTAGTATCTCGCATCGTCGCAGCGACTTGAAGACTTAGACTAAAAATACCCGTTGAATTAGAGCTACGATTCGTGTCCACGTCCGAATCCGAAAATTTCGAACTCGACGAACTCAATATTCGACTCACAACAATGCCTTGGAGAGACTAACAAAAGAAAAAAAGAATTCATTTTCATGGGTCTTTAGAGACTAGTTATGGTCATTTTACTAAGTTTTCGATCCAGTTTTAGATACGCACTAAAAAAATCAAAGAACTGGATGTCGAATATAGAAAGGTCATATGATCCATAGAATATCCGAAAGGTTTTAGCCAAAAAAATGTTTCTTTATTGAGACATTAAATTTCAGAAAATATAATTGATTATTACAAAAATTGAATTTACTTGAAAAGTCAATAGCTCAACAAAGGAACATTCTTTTGGATTGAAACTTTCGCAACACTTTATAGATCATTAGACCCATCTATAGACAAAATTGTACGTCAAAATTCTAGTTTTGTTTTTTATTTTTCGGTATGTATCTAAAATTGGATAAAAAACTTAGTAAAATGGTCATAAATTGACTTCAAAGAATCATGAAGACTAACTCTTTTTAGGCTTTTGCAAGTATCTCTCCAAGACGTCATTGTGAACTCAATATGCGTTAAAATAACGGATATCAATTCGGATAGTTTCTTCTTAAGTAGTTGAAACTGTGCATATCGAAGGTCAATCTTTATTATCATCAAATGATGTTGTATATTGTTATTTCTATAGTAATTTCGTCGAATGATTATTTTATTAGAGACTTCATTTCATTTCCCAAGATTTCATTTCGCTACTTTTGCATAGGGAATTGAGGCCAAAAGAAACACCAACACGTACTCATGAGAAATTATAACGAACACGATAAAAGTCTTTGACAATATTGACTAAAGTCAAGTATGAGAACAGGAATCGATACCTACCATGAAATATAAAACCTAATAGAATAAACCAAACTATCGTTATCTTGACTTTCATATATTATAACAAGAATATAAATGACTTTACATTGCTCGTTATGTTTTTATTCTTTTGTTTGAACGAAATGAACATTCTTTTTCAGCTACAAAAGCAAATTTTATTGTTAGAATATAATTTAATAATAGTTTTAACTTCAATAAATCGAAAAGAATATTTAACAAAAGCAACAATAGAATACATAAATCTTATATTGTTCAAAACGTCATCAAAAAGAAGTATGTTTATCATTTAAAATGAAAAAAAGATATGCTAAGTTACACTCTTCTCAAAAGAATTACATTCAATAAGTCATCAACTATTGAATTAATACAAGATAATAATAAGATATAAAAATAAATTTTTAATGTTAATAAGTACATAAAAATTATTTAGAAATGGAATGATTGTTGTCTTATGAAAGAAAAGTCATTAAATATAACAAAATTGTTGTTGAATTAACAATATAGAACGATAGAAATTTATTCCGATAACAAATCTCTATGAAGGACAATAATAACGACAAGTTTCAATACTGTCATATAATTGATGTCTTTTGCAAGTTCGATATAGATAAAACTTTGAAGTCTAATTTGAATAAATCTAGTCTATTGGGAAAATTCGATTAACATATAAAATATAATGTTCTTGCATCAATAAGACAAATTCATATTTGAAATTTATAACTAAAATACATTCTACTGTTATTTCTCAAAATACTATCGACATATAAACCATTAATAAATCAAAGATAATCAACTGAATCACTGACATTTCAATAAGAACAAGTATCATGGAAAAGAGAAAAGTTCAAAACTAATTAGAATAGATAGAAATTGTCAATTGACATTCAGATCAATATGACAAACATTTATCAATTGTTAGATAAAGAACCTTTATATTAACAATTTCATGTATAATGTAGTTTAAAAAAAAACCAGATATTTGATAAATTTTCTACATATAAATGTTCTATTCTACATGTTTTTTTCATCATCATTTATAGTTCATTATTGATAAGCATATACTTTTCTTAGAATAAGAAAATAACATGTGATAGGATCTTCTTTTGTGTTCGACACTTTTTTCTTTCTTTCTATATTATTCCTATTTAGCCATAGTTCGAACGCTCATTTTTCTCGTTAGTTCATCCGTTTACACAGTATTAGAACGCTCACAAGAATGAATAGTCCTAAAATGTCATGCTATCAATAGCAATCTCTCAGCATAAAAGAAAGATGATTCTTGCCATTCATTATATATATATATATGTATGGAACTAAATAAGTATCAAAAAAATCTGACATACATTAGTATATGTAAGTATCGACAAATGAAATAAAGAAGAAAGAAGATAGCAAAAATGAATATAGATTTGACATTATCTTCGCTTTCTTCTTTTTATTTTTTGCAAAAAGAAATTTGTATTAGAGTAGAACATTAAAAAAAAAAGAAGAATGAATAAAAAAAAGCAAAATGTAATGAAGAAAGGTTGTTACATTGCTGTGCAAATGAAACTATTTTACTATTCGCACATCGATAGGCAAACCGATATAAATATAAAATCGTTTTCTTTCTGTTTTTCTTTTTCAGTTCTTTCTTACACTTGTGTAAGTTTTAAAAAATCCTTTTTCTTTTTTTCCTTTAATCGAATATAAATATATATTTATATTTTTTGTCAAAGCAAAAAACCGTTTATTCTTTACTTCTACTTGTTAATGTTTTTTTCCTATGTGTTTGTCTCCAGAGTGTCATCGTATTGCATTTTTCATTCATCTTATCCTCCATCATTATCGACAACAATTTCTATTGTAACATAAAATCCTCTGATTTCTTAAGATTGAACGCTTTTTTTTTGTACTTATTATCCTATCTGTCTCATTTAAATATGTCTATAAACGCGAGGGCAAGCAATTTTATTTATGATGGTGAAGATTAACAACAATTGGAGACGGTACAAGCAATGAAGAACGATAACATACAGAGAGAAAAAAAAGACCGATAGGTATTTCTCTGGCGGTCGAGAAGGGAGGACAGGTCATTTTCTTCCATTTCTATCCTATACATTTGAATATATATATATATATATATTTTAAAGGTGAACGTTGTACATTTGACGAGAAAGATTTTATTCATTTTCTTTTTTTTTTTCCTTCTATCCATTTTATTCTACAATTGATGTTGATCATGATAATACTATTGATTCTGGAAGCAAATTAACATTGTGTTTTTTTTTCTTCTTCTTTCTTCGTTTTTTTTTTCTTCTTCCGGTCTAAATCCTGAATATTATAAGTAACGAATAAAAAAAATGTCTCTTTAGTGTTACACGACGTTTGTTGCTCTATCATTCTCTCCTTTCTATCGATAATCAAATTGAACTACAGTTAGCTATCCAAGCTACAATGCGCGCTTCACAATGCATATATATATTTATATATATATATACGATGGTTCTTCTGGAAATTTTCTTCTCGTTCTTCATTTCTCTCTCTCTTTCGATTCAACAGGCATAATATATACCATCGAGGATATATCATTCTATACTTTTATTCATTCATTTCATTTCATTCCAATTTTTTTTCCCTCGTCTCCTCGTTCTCGTCTTCTTCCCTTTTCTAAACTGATCGATCGTCATTCTATATATTTTTCAAGTAATGAATAAAATTTTGACATTTAACAAAAATTTTTAATTCTTCTCTTCCACTCTTGGCTTGAACTTGTCCGATCATTTTCTTTTTTCTCTTCTTCTTGTTCTTGTTCTTCATTTGCCTGCTATTCGATACCAGCATTATTCATTGTTTAAAAAAGAAATAAAAGGAATTAACATATTTTATATGTGACCTGCATAGCACGTGCCATGTATTATTTGTAGATTTTAAGAAATATTAGAATAAAAAACAAAACAGACCAAAATTTTATTTAAACTTCTTACAAACATGGCAACAGCCTATATTTGTCCAATGTGTGTTTTCAATTGTGACAATTTACCAGATTTAGAACAACATCTTGAAGGTAAATAGATTAAGAAGAAGAAAAAAAAGTGTTTTGAAAATTAAAAAAAAAAAAAATCTAAATTTTCTTCTAGCTCATGAAAATAATTCAATTCAATCACCTATTAAACAACAACAATCAAATAAATCCGTACGAAATAGTCCACTTTATGCTAAATCTCAAACTGTACTTAATCGTGTTTGTTTGATTTTATTGATTATTTATATTTTTATCTTTAACTTTTTTTTTATATATTTCTAGCAGCAACAAAAACAAAATCGTTCACCTATTAATAATTCTTCTATACCATTAAATACTTCACCCATTCGTTCATCTCCAAATAAAACTTATGATAGACGATATTCATGTAAATCATGTCCATTTTCAACTCATAGTGTTAAAGCTTATTTTAATCATCGACAAATGGCACATGGTGAACAACTTATCATTACTGAATGTCCATATTGTGATTATGCTAGTCAATATCCTGGTAAAGTAAAAAAACATTTAACCGATGAACATCCATTACAACAGATGTCGACTGGTATGTATATATCTTTTATATTTATTAGATAGATGAATATTTTATTTTTATCTTCTAGATCAATCACCAGATCAATCTAATCGAACAATATCACATGAAAATTCTATTAATAATACAATTGAACAAAATGGAAAAATTAATGTTGAAAAAATGATAACACGTTTTACTGATTGTCCATTTTGTTCATTTACATCAATTGATTCGGAAGCATTTCGTAAACATGTACTTACAAATCATTTAAGTGATAAAAATTTTCGTTGTCTTGTTTGTAATCGACTTTATCGATATCGTGGCGATTGTATGTTTAATTTCGAAAATTTTTAATTCATTTTTTAGTTTTGTTTTTTGGATTAAATTTTATAGGTTCATTTCATATTCGTAAAAAACATTCTGATCGTATGATTGGTGATAATATTGAATCATTACGTGAATATATTGGAGAATTTCAACCAAATTCAATGACCGCAATTGAATTAAAAGAACTTTTATCATGTCCATTAACACCATCACTTGCATCAATACCATCAAATGGAATACCTATTAATTCTCGACAATCATCAACTACATTAATTCAACATCAACAACCAAATCCTCCACATTCATTTCGTTGTGGTTATTGTAAATTTTCATCTGTTAATTCAGGTGATGTTAAAAAACATCAAACATGGAAACATGCAAATTTAACATCGAATATTTTACCAATTGATCCAAATGATCCTCAACAACAACCAATAGTTGGTTATAAACGAAAAAGAATTCATAGTACAAAAACAAGTAATAATGAAGATGATGGTCCTAGTATACGACGACCAAGAATATCAATGCCATTACAACGAGATTTAACTATTAATACATCTCCATCAACAATTATTTCAACAACAAATATTGATAATGATTCAGCACCTCGAGGTTTGTTAGTCCAAAAAAGATTTTTTCTAAATATCTCAAATATGAGAATGTGTTTTCTTAAAATTCGATTGAAACACATTCGAAATAGTTTCTTAATTCAAAAAAAGAAAGAAACATCAGTTTCATATGTCTGATGATTCACTTATATTAATCATTTTCTAAAAATAAATCTTGTTGTTTGATAAAAGAAAAATATTTGTATACTTTTACTCAGAGATAGAGTATTTTTTGCATTTGTTTCCATTGTTACATTATGTATGATTCATTGGGACGATGAATTTTTTACATAAGATTTATAGAATGATTCATGTAAACCTCTCTGTGGTAATGTTCATAATCTTAAATCAAAAGAGCTTTTCAAAAAAAAAAGGGAAATGATTAAGGACTTGAGAAGAGATTTTTAAAAGCTCAAAAATAATGTTGACCTTAATTTTTAAACAATTTCACCTCAAAATTCTGAAAACAATACATATTTTGATTTAATATAAAGTTTCAATTTTGCAAGAAATCAATCAGGGATGCGACAGTGCACTGGTGCACTTTAGAATATTGTTGCTAAAATCAGTGAAGTCACTGAGCGTGTATAAAAAACCTATGGTGACGATTGGTTTTGTCTTGTCAATTTAAACGCTTTAATTCTAAAAGAAGGTAGCGATGCTATAATGTTCCTTATCACTGTAGATTCTCCATATACTTATTGACTTCACGGTAAACTGCACCGTTGCATTCCTAAAATAAATTAATCAAAAAGAAGTTTTCTATTACGTCCGATGCATTGTTCCTCCAAGGACGAATTTGGTGTCTTTTGTCTAATAAAAGTTAAATTCATTTTTACACTTTTTATTATTTATTCAAATTCTCATTAAAGAAAAGAAGATAGGATTAGTTTACATCGACATTCTTTTATATTTTATGTATATAGCAATACTAAGTCGACCTTAAAATATGATCATATAAAAAAAGCTTTTTATTTAAATAGATCTTCTTTCACCAAATGAACCTCAATCATCATCATCATTCGATGGTGAACAATCAATAATAAAAACTAATAATAGTCATTTATCTACTCAACATCAATTATCTGCTATTGGATCATTATCATCTCGTGTTTATAAATGTATACGTTGTGAACGTTTAGCACCACATCGATGGATTATTGAACGTCATATACGTGCTAAACATCCATCTGATTTAGATAATATGTCAAATGTTATACTTGAAATTGATAAACCATTAACAACATCAATAAATGGTGAACCAATGACAGCAACAAAATCTTCATCAGCAACATTACTCACATCAACATCATCATCAACTGATCAAGATGTTTTAGCTTCAACAATACCAAAAGCATTTTCATGTTCAGCATGTTCACTTCAATCATATCATTTATGGGTTATTCTTCGACATATTCGAAATGTTCATCATAATGATGGATCAAATGCAAAAATTATTGATAATATTAATAATCAAGTAAATTCTTTTTTTTCATATTTATTTATTTATTTTTTAATTATTTATTAAATAGATAATTGAAGATAATGATGATCTGGAATCAGATACACCTGTTCATAGTGTATCTTCAAATACAATGGCAACAACAATAACATCAAATTCCAATGTTAATAATAATGTTCATGATAATAATGAAAAAACAAGTGAACAAAATAATTTGAGTAATGAAGAAATGCTTACACGTTTAATAAATACAGCTATGACAACAAGAAAACTAAATGCAACAAATACATTCTTTGAAAATTTACCAACATCATTAATGAATAATAATGTTGCTGCATCACTTGCTACTCTTCTAGGACAATTAACTAATAAACAATTAATTCAACAACAACAACAACAACAGCAACAACAACAATTTCAAGCTGAAAAAGCACCATTAGTTAAACGATATAAATGTTCACTTTGTTCACATATATCTGCTTGGGGAGGTAAATTATAAAATATGTAATATTTTCACTTTAAATTATTTATTTATTTTTTTTAATTAAAGGCAATGTTAAAAAGCATTTAAAACGTATGCATCCAGGTGATCATTCAGGTCATGTAATTGATCTCGGTCTTGATCTAGCTAATACTATTACTCAATCACCGACAGACGTATCATTAACATCAAGTAACGATGAAGTAGATGAAATGAATGAACAACAAATAATTAGTACAAATATAAATAAAATACGATCAGCAAATGAAAATGCTCAACAATCCTATAAGCAGGTATTTTGACAAATGATTAATCAAAGAAACTTTCTATCAAGTCTCCTTTCTTATTTTTGTTTCAATCAACAAAAATCTACTGAATAAATATTAAACGACGGAATATCACTTAGCATATTTTCATACAATAGGCATGCACTGAACCTGAATGTTAGTGCGATGCTGACACTGTAAAAGTAGCTTTTGATTTGTAAGACTTCTTGCAACACACTCAAAAGAGAACTTTAGAACAGATGATATCTATGCTTTTGATCGATCCAAATAGTTACAACATATGAAAGAAAAGATAATTTCACAAATATAAGGCAAAATAGTTTTGCATGTATCTGAATGTTTTTATAATAAACACATTGAGAAGCAAAAGAACGACATAAAGAAACATGAATACGAATATGTCTTTTGATGCAAAATTATTTTGTCTATGTTAGATCGAACCTAAATGTTCAGACTTGATGCATCCCTAGTATAGGATCTTAAGCACAAAAATTTCTAATTCTGGATGTTCTAAACGAACATATGATTAAATATTAACATTCAATCTAAAACAATTCTAACCATACATATATTTGAAACAAATCATTTTCTATTTGTTGTAATTTGATAGTAGTTGTAGATATGTCTTCTAATATCAATAGTAAAGTTTAATAGAATTTAAAAAACAAAAAACTTTGTATTTTTTAGCCATCTGAAATCATCAACACAAAATTAAAAGATATTGATAATTCTCCTTCATTTGCTCCTTCAGCATCAACTCGACCAGAACGTCTTTATGGATGTTCTGTATGTTCATATGAGTGTACAAATCCATCAAATATTCATCGTCATGTTGAACTTCATAGTGGTGATGATGGTGGCGGTTTTCAATGTTCACAATGTTTTTTCTTATCAAAATGGCGTGCTAGTATACGTAAACATATGATATCAACACATGGTAGTAGTTTAGCTTCATTAACAAATGTTCTCGAACCATTAATACTCATTAAATCTAATGATGCTACTGTTATTATTAAAAAATGGTTAAGTATGTTCATATTTTTATTTGTTTTTTTTTTCGTTTTGAATTTTCTTTTTTTTTTTTTTTAAATAATCTTCTTTCTATTATTTTTAATTTTAGTTCATGAAAATGGTATTAAACATGAAGATGATCCAAATAATAATAATACACATACAATGGATACATCAACATATTATTGTTCATCATGTCCATATTTAAATACAAATCGTCTATTATTTGAACAACATGTTATACATCATAATTCACCTAAAACGAATGAAAATATTTATACATGTTCATTTTGTACGTTTAATATAAATGAAAAAGATTCTTTTGATAAACATCAAACATTACATATTATGAAAGAAGATTTTCAACAAGATGCAACAGCTAATACTTTAGAAAATTCGGTTATTTAAAAAAACAATGAGAATTTGATTTGATTTGTTTGTTTGTTTTGTTCTTTTTCTTGTTTTCTCTTCACTATCTTCTATTTCTTTTTTGTATTTCTGTATTAAATCAATGCGATTTATGTCAGTTATCTGTATAAAAAATATTCATCACTGCTGACTTTTACTTTTTCGCAGTGTATATATCTATCTATCTATCTATCTATTTTCTTGTTTCATATCATTCCATCGTCAAATTCATAAGTCGCTCTAGTCAGATGATGAAGAGAATTCAAAAGAAAGATAAAATAACTTGATCATTATCTGTATTATTTAATGTTCTTTTTTTTCGTATGTGTTTGTCTGTGTTAGTTTTCTTTCTGTATTCTGCTGAAAGATAGTATATATCTTTCAATTTTCATGTTTTCTTTTTGCCTCATTGACCGCTCGTTTGGTCAACAAAGAAGTAGTTTGAAACGAATAAAAACTAACAAACAGAGTTCATGTATTTTTCATAGTTCAGGAAAAAACCAAATATACATAAGGAAAATGATTCAATGATATGTCGTTCACAAACTATTCTTTCAATTTAATTAAAAAATGATGTTCAACAAATATTAGTTGAATATCTATGATTAAATGATCAAAATAGAATAATATTACATGTTGAGAAAATGTGTTATATGTGTCATATTCAATATTATAGATCAAATAAAGCATATTATTATGAACGGTAAAGATACAATATAAATTAGTTTGATGTTTAATCGAATGTTTGTATGTTTGAAAAAAGGATATCTGAATAGTCATGACAATAGAATGAAAATATGCTGTCAGACAAATATATTAGTTATTTAAATATTATATTAATTCACTCTGATCATAATTCGTATATATCAGTTTTTTCTTTTGTTAATTAAATTTTAGGTTTTTTTATGGCTTAAGAATTATTCATTATCTATGTCTCATAATGGATTCCAATCAAAGTTCTCAATGAGATTCATTGATTGGGCAAGTTGTAACTTTTCTTGTATCTCCTATGCTGAGATATTTAATATTCGAAAATCTCTCATGTGTGAAAGTAAATGTTCTTCATATACTTACATTTCTAGAAAGAAAATTCTAGATATGCTAAAACTAGCACAATGAACTAATCTCATTGAGAACTTTATTCATGCAAAATTTGAAGTCGACACTCAAAACTCGATTTTCCGCGTGACCTATGGGAATCCATAATATTTTATTGAAAAGTCCAGTAAAATTTCAATATCTCGAGAACAAAGACCTGAAAAAAGCAAAGCATTGTAGGCTTTCTATTATTGTCTAGCACTCATCGAATGAACATTGTCTCGCTCGAAAAACAATTGGACACCTAGAGAGGTTCTCTCGTTAGTGACAAGATTTTCACTTACACTCGTTGTTAGAACATCAACAAATATTTCTGTCAATAAATGGAGTTACAGAGCATTAACATATAGTTTGCCGAAAAAAAGAAAACCTCTCTATATCACAATGGCTTAGTCAGTCTTTTAGAAAATCTAAATGATTCTGTTATATGAGTTCAACAATTCCTTGATGCTTCTGATGAGTTTAACACATAGAATCGAGAATTAAATGAATCGGAGGTCTATGTAGTAGTAAATCCAAGTTAAAGAAAACATATCAATCTATTTCTATACACATAATTGATGTATTATAATCATTTTCAGTACAATCTTTTGCGAAAATACAATCAAATATTTCTAACAAAACTATAACTTCGTATTGTCAAAATAAAAAACAAAACGTACCAGAACTCGTTTACAAATAAAAATAAAATGTGAAAAATAATTTTTGTCTCTAAAAATAGAAAGTAATTTATTTTTGTAGAGACAAATTCTATTCATTAATAATTTGACTGACTTCGCACGCCTTCTATCGCTTGTCGTATTTCGACTTCGAAGAACGTTGATCAAGTATCGATGACTCATCTTTGTATATTGTGTGACATGATAAAATATTTCTTATTGAAATTGTTTTGATTTATTTGAGATAAAACAGAAGCAATGACCTATTTCGATTCATCATCTGCTTTCGAGAAAGATTTTGATGAACAAACAAATGATGAAGATTTTCTTATTGCACTTCAATTACAAAATCGATTTGATAAAGAAGAAAAAGAAAATGACAAACAATTAGATAAAGTCACACAGGTTAAAATAATATTTCTTAAATTCCATTGAAAAATTCGAATTTCTTTAGATTCATCCAATGAATGTTGTTGATAAACAATGGGAATTGATCGATCCAAATCCAGATATTTATTCATTATTTCAACAATTTAATCGTCAATTTTTCTATGAAAAATTAGATAGTGTTTATGTCGAATGGAGTAAACGAATGACACGGTAAAGAAAAACTGTTTTTTTTTAAAATGAATATTTTAAATTTATAAATTCGAATCACTTCTATTTAGTTGTGCGGGTATATGTTATTATAGACGAGGTGGTGAATGTCGAATTGCACTTAGTGCTAGTTATTTAACATTACGACCACGAAAAGATCTTGTTGAAACTTTATTAGTAAATATTTCTTTTGTTGTTTTTGTTTTTTAAATCTTTCATTTATTCATTTTTTAGCATGAAATGATCCATGCTTATTTATTTGTTACACATAATAATCGAGTAATTTAATTATTTATTAATATTTTTCATATAGATAAATAATTCTATTGATAGGATCGTGATGGTCATGGACCAGAATTTCTTAAGCATATGGTACGAATTAATGATATAACAGGAGCTAATATTACAGTAATACAATATTTTATTATCTTGAAGAAAATTTCATTATTTATAATTGTCAGGTATATCATTCCTTTCATGATGAATATGATCATCTTCATGGTCATTGGTGGCGATGTACAGGAGCATGTCGTCAATGGAAACCTTTTTATGGTTATGTTAAACGATCAATGAATCGAGCACCATCAAATAGAGATCGATGGTGGGGTAAATAATTTTCATAGTTTTTCATTTAGTTTTGATTAGGAAGGGGAAGAGTTAAGAGAGAAAGTCGACCAAAGCTACTTAAATTTATCTATTGTTCATCATTATTATCATCATCATTTTTGTTCACATATTTTTTTGATATCGTGAGCTTTTGTCCATCCTAGATATATATATAAATGTTTTACAATACCATCTCAACCGTTTTTTCGTAACCACTGTTTTTAATATACTAGATATCACAGTTATGTCTGAGATTGTTGATAAGAGACTATTTTCTAGTTTTGTTTTAATTCGTTCTAGTGCATTAAAAACTTCATTTACTTTTATTAGATTCAACCGACAAAGTTGTTAAAATTTGATATAATTTAAACCATTCAGGTATCAGATATTGAGCTGGATTCCACACATAGTATTCTACAGTATCTATTCAATAAGTTTTAGATATATTGACGATTAAATCATACTTTTGACGTTTGTCTTACCTTCTGTCTTTTTAATATATTACTCTTCATAATATGATCTGATTCAGTTTCTCTTTCAGAGAAAATAACTGATTTTCTTCAAACAAACAGAACTTCACTTTTACATAGACAATCTGTTTCATTGAAAGTTTAAAAACATCAGATAAATTTAGAAGGGAGAAATCACGCTGTTTCTTCTCCTAATCGTATAGTCTGATGATACTTTACTTTTTATTATTTTATCGATTTTAGATGAACATGAACGACGTTGTGGTGGTAAATTCGAAAAAATAAAAGAACCCGAAAATTATAAAACTAAAGAAAATAAAAAACGAAGTACTGATGACATAACATCAAATAAAAATAATCAACCATCAGCTAGTCAAAGTAAATATAAGTCTGAAAATTTTTTAATGTATAAATGATATGAAATATTCTTATTAATATAGTTTCATCACCATCAAAAAAAAAGAAAAAAACGACTAATGATATAATACCAAGTCATGGTACAATTGAACATTTTTTCAAAAAAACAAATTCTACGTCTTCTTTAACCGATATTAAACAATCTGAGCCGAAGAAGATTATTGATACAAGCTCACAAAAACTATCTTCAACCATGAAATCAAATGCTGCTGCTGATGATGAAAATAAACAAAATTATGTTAAGTGTCCAACTTGCCAAACTCTTTTACCTAAAGCTAATTTATTTATTCACCAAATACGATGTTATAAATAATAGAAGAAATTGTAGTTTTTTTTCTCTTATATCATTCTTATATATATTTTTTGTGTATCTAATTTAACGGGTGTCATTTATAATAAATCTAGTCATGTAAAAAATAATGTTATATTTTCTGTAATTTTAAGAATGAATAGTCATTTCAATTAATTGAATATACTTACTTAGCATATAATGAATGAATATATCATGTATACTACCATGAAGATTCTTTAGTATTGATATTTCAAACAATACTTTTTTCACATTTTATATTCTAATTTAATAAATCCATAGGATTTTTCTCTTTTCCAACTAAGTTTGTTTTATCTTTTATTATTCGAGAATCATATATTAATGTATCATAAAGAATAGAATCATTATCTGTCAATACAATGTATGTTTCTAAAATCTTCTTCAATATCAATATTTTAACTGAAGTAGATAAAACTATTTTTACTTATCTTTAAATTTTAGTATAAAAATATCTTATCTTTAAAGAGTCATATGAATTGAATTTATGACAAAGATTAGTTATATTTTTCATGCAGTCATTCAAAATTATTTCATTTTTCAAACACATATAAGTCATTGATGACTCATACGATATGTAGCATCATATGATAATCATCATACTCTCATAACACTTATTCTGACTTGACTCAATGATGAATGGAAAAATTCATAGTAGAGTTGAAAAACAAATTAATGTATGCTGAAATATATGAACGATTATTAATGAGAAATGTTTTTATTTGTTGGAATAAAAGTAGCAAAATAAACTTTTTATTTTTGTAGAATAAAAGAGAACGAAAAAGTTGCTGTTCTAATATATTTCATACAACCTTTTACAATAGATATGATAATGACATTGCATATTGTTAACTAAATAAAATAGCTTTTACATACACAAACATGATGACGAAAAGATGAATCATTTTTTTTGTGGCCTTCTGTCACAATAGTCTTGTGTAACTTTGAAATAGAAGCCCGAAAAATATCATGACGAATATGACACATTCTTTTTTTTTATCAATATCAAATTCTTCTCATCATTGCTTTGAATTTTAACTTTACTTGTATTCAGATCGGTCAAACTGGAGTCCAACAATTTTCAATAGAAGCTGTTTGAAATCATCATTTATATGACAGATTTCCATGAATAACTATAAATCTTACTTACGATAAGTAACGTAAGGTAGTTTGTTTTTTCAAACATCTAATGAAAGAGACAGAGATTTTTTACATAGAACCTTAAATACTGATGCAAAGGAAGTGTGTCAAGGTTAGAAAATAAATAAATATAACAGAGTAGTTGAAAAATAACAGGAACTTGTAGCTCTCGTTTTTTTTCCCTAGATTTTCTTATGTAGATGTTGAAGAGTAATTTAATCTATCTAAAAGTGAGTTCTAAAAGTTAAATTCTTTTGATGGTCTGAACTTAAATCGAGTAAGATAAAATTCTAGCATAGTGTGAAATCATGCTCTATTTTAATTTCTAGTAAAAAAAAAACCTTTCGTGATTTCATCTAATCTTTTACCATAAACCTTTTAGTACCATTTTCAACAATAGAGTTGTATACTTGTTTGTCTTTAACAAACATATATAATTTAGACAAAAATGAATTTCGCTCTCTAACGTTATCATAGACCAAATTAATTTTTTGTATCATTACTTTTCTATGAAATGTACACTGAAGGTTTTTTGTACGTTTTATGCTTTATCATAAATTTGGCATTTTTTCTTTAATCCAAAGTTACGATAAGAAATGTCGTGGAACGAGTCTCGAAGAACAAAAAAGTAGAACAGCTATATAAGTGATTTACTCAGGAAACAAAATATCACTATTGTTAGAAAGACAGGAAAACAAAGAGAAAAAGTCGAATACGAAACATCAATTCTCATTATAAGAAAGTTTTCTAGTTGTTCTTCATTTGTTTGAGTATTAGGTATTTTGTAAAAACAATATAATTCAATTGATTTATTTTTAATGCTGTTCAAGATTGATATGAATGAGATAGCTACCACAAAATCTAGTTACTGGCATTGTAACCACTGTTATCGTATTCTAAAACATGGCGAATTTCGTTTCAATTGTATTATTTGTGATAATTATGATTTATGCGAGGAATGTTTTGTAACACTTGATCCACCACATCCTCATCGAATGATGCATGAACTAGCATATGGAAAGGAAGAAACTGTACAAGAATGCCAAAATGCAAGTATGGCAAATGGAATTCAAACAGCTATAACTATGTATCATGATCGTTATTGTTTGGGTGTACGAGATATTGACAAAATTAATCCTGCACTATATGCAGATACATACACTTGGTTAACATTTGAAACAGTGGGTATTCGATCCAAAAACTTTGGACAAGGATTAAGAGATATAATTGAACCACGTTGTTATCTTGGTATTTGTGCAGCAAATCGACCTGAATGGGTAATTACAGATTTTGCATGCATTTTTCACAGTATTATCACTGTGCCAATGTACTGCTTGTTCAACGATTATGAACTTACTTATATTATCAACAATACACAAGTGTCAGTAATTGTTTGTGATAAACAGATGTTACCAAAATTTATTCGGTTATATGCAGAATGCCCATCACTTCATCACATTGTATGTATGGATTCAATTCCCGAAACAATACTAGGTAAATATCAAAATCTTAATTCGTTTAGAATATTCTTCATTAACTTCCTCTTTCATTTATGAACGTGTTAAGATGATATAAGTTTTAAGACAGTCCTTTATAAAACATATTTTCAGAACGTTTTTCAACGAAAATGTTCATTTATGACAACTATCAACATTATTCTTTTAGGTATGGAAAAGAATAGACTACGTGTTCACTACATGGGTGATATTGAAACCAATGGTTCCACTAAACAGTACAACTCTGTCAACATTGATCCTAATGAATGTCTGACAATTGTATATACAAGTGGAAGTTCAGGATTTCCTAAAGGTGCCATGATCTCTGAAAATTCTTACCGAGCTACATTTTTACAATGGTGTCATCCATCTCCTTCCGACCAAATTAATTTCTGTTATGAACCATTAGCATGGGTGAGTGATCGTGACGCTGTTATTAGGACATTTTTTGTTGGAGGACGTACTGGATTTTCTACGGGAGATATTTCTCACCTAATGGAAGATCTAGCTTTAGTTAGGCCGAACAATTTTTCGACAACACCAGCCATATGGAACAAAGTATACGCTGAATTTAAGGCAGCTTTGTCACTAGCAATAGCTCATCTATTACCGGAAGCAGTTGCAGCAGAAGAAGATCGACTTCTGCAACAATTTTCAAAACTCATTCCAATAAGATGCAAAACAATCACTGTTGGTGGTGCTATGATTAGTCCAGTGGTACTCAACTTTGTCAAACGATGTTTTTCACGCTGTTGTATTTATGAATCTTATGGTATAACAGAATGTGGAAGAGTGACATCCAACAATATTATTAAAAATACATTACAGTTTCGTCTTATATCTGTTCCAGAAATGGGTTATACAATAGATGACGAATTATTTCCTCGAGGAGAACTTTTAATAAAAACTGACGAGATGTTTTCTGGATATATTAATAATCCAGAAGAAACTCGAGCAGCTCTCACAGAAGATGGATTCTTTCGTACTGGTGATATTGTCGAATTACGTGTTCGTCCAGATGGTGAACTTTATGTACATCTTATTGATCGAAAAAAGAATTTTTTCAAACTCTCACAAGGACAATATATATCACCAGAATTTCTTCAAAGTATTTATATACAAAGTCCTTTCGTCGAACAAATCTATATTCATGGTGATCTTTTAGCAGATTCTATTGCTGCTGTGGTTGTACCAAATCGAGAATATGCACAAGCATTTGCACTTGAACATAATCTGAAAAATTTTGATATGATCAATCCAGATCCACAATTTTATGATGCTATTCTACAAGATCTTCGTTTGATAGCTGAAAAAGAGTCACTTCGAAAACATGAAATACCATCACAATTGATCATTGATTTTGAACCGTTTACACCAGAAAATGGTTTACTCACATCTACAATGAAACCTTGTCGTCACAAATTAGGTGCATATTATGGTGATCGACTAAAACAATCTAATACTATTAAACAACGATTAAAAATCATCATTGAAACAACAACAAAACAATCGCTATTGACTGATGAAGAAGATAACTTTTTTATTCCTACTGGTGGAGATTCATTAACAGCCATACGTTTATCTCGTAGGATTGAAAATGATCTAGGAATATCTGTACCAATAAGTATACTTTTACAACCTAATATGACTCTTCAACGATTAGCAACTGTTATCAGAGATCCTTCGCAAATGTCTTCACATTCAATCGTACAGCAAATGTTGAATGATTCTGAATTACTTTTGGATATAACGATAGATAAACGTAAAAATGCAATTGTATCTCCTTCAGTAGTTTTCATTACTGGAACTACAGGATTTGTCGGTGCATTTTTATTGGCTGAATTATTATTGGTTCATTCTTCTGAATGCAAATTTATCTGTCTTGTGCGCTGTGAATCTTTGACTAATCCTTTGGATCGTATTCGAAAAAATATGCTCTTTCATCAAATATGGCGAGAAGATTTTCAAGAACGAATTATTCCATTACAAGGTGACTTAGAGAAAACTTATTTTGGATTAGATAATGATATATATGAGTCACTTGCTAATCAAATCGATATCATTTTTCATTGTGGTGCTGCTGTGAATTTTATACTGCCATATAGTAAGCTTTACGCTTCAAATGTTTGTGGTACTAGAGAGATCATTCGTCTAGCAACTCATACAACTACATGTATACCGGTTCACTATATTTCAACATTGAGTGTTCTATCATCTGATGTTAACAAAGAAATATCGATCGATGAAACCTCTCCAGATAGTTTAGTCAGTGGTTATGCACAAAGTAAATGGGTAGCGGAAAAATTAATGGCTAAAGCCAATCATTTAGGTTTGCCAGTGGTCATTTATCGTCTTGGATCGATATGTGCTAGTACGGAAACAGGTGCTTGCAATCGAAATGATCTTCATACATATTTATTTGCTGCAATGATGAAGTTAAATTCTTATCCTGAGACAATAGTTAATGCTCATTTACATGGATTACCAGTCGATTTTACAGCGAAAAGTATCGTCTATTTGAGTAGCATTCAACCTGATGTATATGGAAAAATCTATCACATTATAAATCCGAATCACGCAGTGCAATTTAGAGATATTATTGATTGTATATGTCACTGTGATGTTCAATTAGAAAGTGTTTCTCTTGAAGAATGGCGAATCAAATTAAAGACAATCAGTTATGAAGACAGTCCATTTGAGTCCGTTGGTGAATTCTTAAATGAAAATCTCTTCAAAGAAAGTTGTACAATATCCGCCGAACAATTTTATCATTCTATTTCTGCCTTGAATCTTCCATCTTTAGACAAACTGTATTTGATAAAATGGTTGAAATTCATACTAGATAATATTGTTTGTCAATAATCTTCTATTAACAACACCCAACTATGTATTTATAAAAAATAAACATATTGTTTAACAATTTAGTCTGTTGCAATCATTGTCTTTCGTGACATGTACGATTAATCCAAATGATTTGTGTTAAATACCTATTCAAATGTTGTCATTTCATAAACTCAACAACTAAGTGACCATATATCAGACTAAAATAGTAAACAATACAATTTAATTCTTTTAAATTAGCTACAAACCTTTTGTCCATAATAATGATACAAAAAGATCCGAAAAAATCGTTTGATTATAGATTTAAAAAATATCATATCATTAGAAACAGAAAGCTAGCGGAAAATAACATCAAATCAGTCTGATAAGTTATTTTCGGTTGAAGATCTTCTTTATTTTGTTTATTTAATAGAAGAATGTTTTCATTATAAGGATCTTTTGAAGATGAATTTAATAATTCTTTTTTAAATTCAGTTATTGATATTTCTTGTTTAGCAATTAAATGTTCATAAAGTCTTTGTGATTATTGTGTTATATTACGAAATTCATGGATACGATGACGATTTGATAAAATTACATCATTACAATACAATACAATGATTCCCATCGAAATTCGTACTATTCGATAGAACATTAAATTCTGCAACTAATACACTCGGCTACAAAGTTAACACAACTCGTGTAGCGAATCTGGACAAGATTTATACCTGAGATCTAGTCCTGGACCCAGTGTTTGGGGTGTAACCTCCCCTTTTTGCCCGATAATATCACTTGGAAATACTACCATTGGATAGAGAATTAAATTCTGCATCTAACACACTCGAATAGAAACTTAAGACAAATCGTAGAGTGAATTCGGACAAGAAATACAGGATCTCTGTTATTGATACACAGAAGAAAAGTCAGTATTTCTGGAAAATGTTGTAGTTTTTTCCCGATGGCCTCCCCCCTCTCTCCCTTGAAAGTAATACCATTTGATAGAACATTAAATTCTACATCTAACACAAGCGCTTAGAGAGTTAACACAGGTAAAAAAAAGGAATCGGGACAAGAGATACTCGAATATGGTGCTAATTTTATTTATGTGGCTACGCCACTGTTCTTCAGATAGATGGACTTCACCTCTATAGTTCAACGTACGACTCAGGTAAATCATCTTCCTATATGTTAATGATGAGCAAACAAAATTGCGTCTCTATTCATTTCCTTTATATTTTTGAATGTTTTGGAATGATGACGGATTTTAAAATAATTATCTTATATAGTATCAAGTAAAAAGACATCGGGACTTCTGCGCTTTCGATTGCTTAAAACCACACGTAGGTAGCTGTAGCCATCGTCTAGTTTTTGGCATTACATTCATTCATCGTTAATTCTGGCGTCGAGATTAGTTTATTGTATCCAGTAGAAATTGTATGAAGTACAATATATCCTTGCGATATTCGAATGCGAGACATCTAGTTAAAAAATGACTTTTTATGTGGCGTTCGATAAAATGTATTGTCAAAAAGAACTAAATAAATAATACTTTTGAAAATATGGTTTTAATAACATAAAACGAGTTTGTTTCTTTTTTAACATTAACACAAGAGATGTCGTTCGTTTACAATAGATAGAGTTCTCTCAGCTGTTCAAAACTTTTTTTTTATTAGCCAATATATATCAACTCTGCATCGATTGGTTACTCCTGCTTTTTCAAGCTAAGAGTAATTGCAACGCATCGCCCCCCTTTATTTCCTTTTTAGTTTTAAATAATTATTGATTTGAATTCGATACTTAAGAAAACATTTGTCATTTAAGATATTGTAAAATGGATGTCTATTGGGAATTATCCGATTTTGATATACACAATCGTCAACAAGGTATGGAAAAATTATTGAAATCATTCAAAACATTATCATCTGATGATAACAATGAAAAGGTATAAATAAGTATTTATACTTCGAAAAGTATTGAAAGTTTAATTTTTAGCATTTATCATCTGAATTGGATTATACTATTTCACGATTAATCAAAGGTCTTGTATCAAATCGTAAATGTGCTCGTATTGGTTATGCTGCAACTCTTGGCACAGTTCGTAATTTAGGGAAAATATTTTCATAAAACCCGCTATATGTGTATTTTAGCTGGCAAGTCTTACGGATGATCAATTGCAAATACCCTCAGTCGATGATTTTATTTCATTAGTACAAGATAAATTAACAACAAAAAAGGAAACTGGCGTTGAAGTAAAATCCCATGACTTTATTAGTACTTACTCGTTGTTTTTTTTTTGTAATTATATTTATTCTTGTAGGATGCGAAAAATGTTCGTATTGGTCGTGTACTTAGTTATATTGCATTGGCTTACACACAAAAAGACAATAATGTTAGTTCTTATTAAATTCATCATTTAATATTTGTTTTTTATTATTTATTTAGTTATCAATTTTATTACAAAAAATCATACCTGATTTACTTTTAATTCGTACACAAGAAACACGACGACGATTAAGAACATTTATTGATGCATCAATTGTTCAATTAGCTAAATGGGTAAATTAATTAAGACATTGTCACAATATCGATATACTTTATATCGAACCTCTTTTCATAATAGAAGATCCTAGGTCTTATGTTATGTACATGCATACAACTTTTCCTGAGGGCTGTTCCGTTGAGTTTCATCTACATTCATAATTTTTAATTAGAAAAAGATTTTCAAAATACCAAAACTGCTTTAAAAATTTCAACAGCCTAGAAATAATAATGATCTCGGTCTTTTGATATTTTCAGCTCAAAACTCTGAAACCTAATGTCCGAGACAGAATTGAACAGGGCTGTGTGTGAGTTAGCTCAATAACTCGACAACGGCAATAGTTAGCGACTTGTGGTTTTCAGAAATCCCATGAGAAGAAATTCGGACATCCGTTCGACCGATGCTATGTAAGAATAAGTTATATTAAAATTCATTATCTTCTCAAAATCTTCGAAGACAAAATAAATGAAAACAATGCTTCATTTCAAGGAAATTTTAATCAAAAGTCGAAAACATTGCTAAGAATCACCAAAATTCTATATAATTTAGTCAAATAGATACATAATTTTGTTTACTCAGCATGGACATATGAGAAGATAATTACCTGAATCGTGCCTTAAATTACAGATGTGAAGCCAATATTAAAATGAAAAATATATCGAAGAGAAATACCATTTCCATGCATTTTTTTGAATGTTTTTCGAAAATGATGAATTTTAAAATAATTTTGTCTTATATAATATCAGATAAAAAGTTATCAGAAGCTCTTCTCTTTCGATTGTTGAAAATCGCAGGTCGATAACTGTTATACTAGTCGAGTTATTAAGATTACGCCCGTCCCTCTTTAGTTCTTGAGCGAACATTAGGTAATTTTTAATGTAAATATACTAATTAAAGTTCTGATTTTGCGAGAAATCAATTAATTAAGAGGAGTCTTCTATTACGTCCTAATTGCAGGAGGCGGTAACATATTTCGAAAATCTTATTACATTTCTTATCATTCATATTGAGTACTTTGACTAAAGATATAAACTTTCGAGAATGAATTGTAATAAACATTTATTCGTTTATTTTGTGTAAGAATAAAGTATTAAATCAATTAAATAATATTTTAGAGTGATCGTAAATTGTTCAAAAAAGAAATTTTACCTCATATTCAAGAACTTCTACCAACAAATTGGCAAGTGGGTGATGATGGAACAAAATCTTTATTTTTATTTGTTTCATTAGTTAATCTCTATCCAGTATGTATAAATATTTATTGATAGAATATATATAAATTTGAAATTTTTTTTTTTTTTTCGTTAAAGAAAATATTCAATCAGGAATATTTTCAATCACATTGGAATGATGATATGTTACCATTAGGAAAAACAAATGATCAACAAACGATAATAAAAAAATGTTTACAAGTAAAAAACTAAAAAATGTTCTTAGAATTTTTATAGGTTTTTAAATTATAGTCATTTGATAATGAACTTCATTTACTTCAACAATTATGTCAAGAATTACTTATCTATGCAATTCGTACTCAACAATTAGCATTATTTTGGCCTGTAATTGTTGATGGTACGATAAAAATATATTTATAGAATTTTATCAAGTCTTTCTTTTTTTTTTCATAATTCAGAATTATCAAATATTGGATTTGATTCGAATAAAGGACATATTTTACTTGATTTAATAACATTTTGTTTTCACGAACAAGAAAATCCGAATTCGATTTATACGGTATTTCGTATTCAATTGATTTTGTATTATTCAATTATGATTGCTTATTTAGATTGAAACTATTCTTGATAGTAGTCAAATATTATTTAGTAAAATATTTGATTTATTATCATCATCAGGACGAAAAATACATCAACAAGCATCAATTGTATTATCGAAAGATGCTGTATGTTAAATATTTATGAAATATTATTTTATTTTTTATATGATATTTAGTTTGAAAAACTTGCACATACAATTGCTAATCGACCATTGGAAGAACGATTACGTTTATTTGAAAAATTATTAAATTGGTTAGTATTAAATTTTATATTTTATAATAAACAAATTTTTATGTTTATTTATTTAGTGCTAATAAAAATTATACATATATTCATTCAATAGCTAATGCTGTTACAGAAAAGGTATTTATAAGTTTAAGTTTTTTAAAATGATTTCTATTCATATAGATTTCATTTTTTGCATCTGCGAGAAGATATGAATAATATTTTTGCTTTTATTAAGATAAAAGAATGATGATAGAAAAAGACCTTCGCAAACTGTCGCAGCGTAATACCAAAATTTTCAATCACGAGACCTGGAAACTTTGTTAGTTTTTTCTGATGATACTGCCCTTTTCCTTAGCAGTAGAGTTCAACCTATAAAAATGAACGATTTTTATTAGTTTTTTATATTTTGAAATAGTCTATAGTTATTTTATTGACTTTATTTGATGTCATGAAAATGAAATAATGATTATGAGATTAATGGTGTTCTGTAAGGTTCGACGCGATTTTCATTTTTGTTTTGTAGTATCTAAAGGCGAATAGACATTCAAAGAATATATTGAAAGAGTAACATGTAAGAAAATCATTTAAAAGAAATTTTTTCTAAGAAGACTGAATAACTTTCGCCATGTCCTGATTATTGATCAAAAGTTAACTTTAGTCTACAAAATTATCGTGAAAGAAAAACCATGAAATAATTCCGTTAACTTTATTATTTATAGTTAACTATTGATGAACTACCAGTCTATGTTAAATATATCATTGGTTTATTCTGTGCAGTTTCTAAAGAAGATGAAAGGTAAATAATAAAATTTAAATAAATTAATATTTTGAATTTCTTTTTCTTAGTGCTCTTAATCGTCGTCGACATTTTCTTCTTGAAATAGTAAAATATCATTTTGAAAATTTTTATAATGTATTTCATTGTTTTTTTTCTTCTATCGTTTTTAGCTTTCGAATGTATGTAATTGTTCATCATTCGATTTAAAAGACAATTCATGTGGTTTACTCTTCGAAAATATTCTTGCAATGTGTGTTCTTCTAGCTAACTTTAAATTACATAATCATATACCAAAACAATTTCGTGAAGTAATTTATCTTCTAGACGAAGAGAATATTAATTACTTTAGATTTGTTGTTTCTTCTAGTTTCTTCATGGAAATATTGAAATTTCAGATGTAACACGAGAACATATTGAAGATACTATATACAAATTTCTTATGTATGAATTTCATGAAAATCAATATGAACACAGTTTAAATGTATTTCAAAAATCAATCGTAAGAATATTTTTTTTTGATTTTTTTTTGGAAGAGAAGATTTAATATTAATTTATTGATTTTTAGCATTGGTTTCAATCAACGAAACATTTTTCACCATTATTTAAAAATGTCGATGAAATAAAACTATATTTAAATGAACAAAGTGAAGAATTATTTCAAATTATTCAAGGAAATACGGTTCGAAAATTCTAATAAAAAATCAGATTGATTCTATTAATTGTTTGTTTTTTTGTAGGTTCAATCATTTCCTGATGAAAAACTTCGATTAGCATTTCGACAAGTATTTGTTTTAAGTTTTTACGATCTTTTTGTTGATTTTAATCGTGCCAAACAGTATCTTGATGTATGTTACAAAAATATAAAAAAAAACGAACTTTAATTAAAGATAGATTATTTCCTAGGATTTGATTACATGTGTAAAAAATGCTCGTATTCAACTTGTTTTAAAAAAGAAAGTTAAAGGTAAGTAAGTTTTATCATTTTTTTCTTGTCAATATTATTTCGAATAAATTTCTTTTTCTTTTTTGTCTAGAAAAATCATCATGGATTGAAGTATTTATTGATATACTTTTATCAATGGATACTAAAAAACAACATGATATTCGATCAATTGTTAAAAAAATTTATCATCAAATAGCACCTTATGTTAATGAAAATGCATTGAAATTGATGCTTCAAGTAAAATTAATTTAACATTTCACTCTCTAAAATCGATTTTTCATACAGTACATGAAGTTTTCATGAAAGTTTCTCCAGATGTTCGACGAATAAAAGTACACTGATAAAAAATTTTCACGGCTCCAAACCATATCGTTTAGAAGATGTGCAGGAATCATAGTGCAAAATAGGACTGTCCCGCTTATAACTATATTTTCAATAGACTTAAAGTTACAGCGCTTGAGCTAGTCTTATTTCAAAGAGAACTCCTATCACTTCGGATAAGGGAAATAGTTTTCGAATTTTTATCGTATTTCATTTTTGGAACTCTCAAAACCTTAGGCAATGTTTTTTAGAAAATCTATGATTGCTTTGATATTGAGGATCGAATGAAAAATCTCCTTCTCCTATTCAAAAGAGAATGCATCTATCTATCGAATAAAAAAACGCAGTTCACTTGAAGGTATTTTTTTTTGTATTTTTACCTGAAGAACTTTCTAACATGAGCATCAAATACAGTTATATAACGTATCCATTAAATATTCATCTAGAGTCCTATCGAGTGGTCTTCTGACTACGCGGTGGCCTTTGATAATGCGTTGTAACTTTAATCGCGTTTATAAATTTCTTATGGATATTGTATTGGCATTTTCGTTGGAGAGCTCTAGAAACTCATCATGATTTCTGGAGAAACCTTTTCCAATTGAAAGTCGTTCTTACAAATTTTCAAACTAGACACCTTAGGAGTCATGCCTATGTGTTTATCTCAAAGAATGTCTTGTTTTTTTGAAAAATCGATTTTTTTGGAGGGGAATGAAGCTCTAATTCATTCGATTCATGTTTGATTTATGAAATTTTAGACGATTACTGTGGAAAATGAAAGTGATGATGAAGATGAAGATGAAGATGAAAGTGATGATGATAGTGAATCGAATATTGAAGAAGAAGAAGAAGAAGAAGAAGATGAACTTATTGAAAATGGTGATGTTAATGAAGATCTTCGACAAGCTGTTGAAAAAGCACTTGGTGATGCAGCAGCAAAAGAAGATCAACCAGTAATATATCGTTTAAAACAAAAACTATTTAAATAATTAATTTTTAGAATGATGTGGATATGGATGATGAAGCTATGCTTCGTTTAGATCCACTTATTGCTGAAGCATTTCGATCACAAATTAAAAAATCTTCAAATATTAAAATAATTAATGAAAAACTTCATCATCAATTTCGTGTACTTGATCTTATTGAATCAGTTATTAAAAAAGATGAACGTATGCGTTTTGTTTTAGTAAGTTTATCAAATATTTATATTTGAATGATTTTTATTTTTTTTTTCTAATATATTTATTTATTTATTTATTAAGATAAGTATACGTCCATTAATTGAAACATTAACACGTTTACCAAATACATCTGCATATAAAACAATGATTGAACGACTTGATTCTATTTTACGTCATTTATCAAGTCGAAAAGTATTTATCTTTTTGTTTTCACTTAGTTCAAGAAATTATAAACATTTAACAGTGAAATCTAAATATCGATAGATTATTTTCATTGAAAATCTTTATCAATTTGATTTATAAACAAATTCTTTTTTTGATAATCAATAAATGATGAGTCTTGAGCGTAAATTAATAGATCATCAAGAGCAGAGGTGAAGACAGAATAACTTTTTTTCCTCTCTTGCTACACAGAACAACAGTTCTTATGTTCTTTTTCTACCATGCAAAACAGATATCAAACTGTCTGTCATCCTCCAGTCTATTTATTTCTTTTTTCTTTTAAATAACACATGCATATTAATACAACGCAAAGGAAATCTGGTCTAACTGGTCTCGGTTTAGATAAGTTCGTGTTGTTTTTTTTGTTTAGCATTTTCCATTTCAAAGAAATGGGTTTCACTATTTATGAAATTAGCATATATCAAATGAGTTGATCTATGTATTCGAGATGAAAACTGAAAACTTTCCTATTGATTGTCTTTCCTTTTATGAATTATGAATAGATCAATTGTTCATCTAATTACATTTTGTCATTTCTAGATCCAAATATTAGTCGAGCTAGCACGAGTTTCTCACATTAACCTTGTAATCAATACTGTAATTCTTTGATTTTTCCACTAATCGATATTCTTGTCTTTATTCTTTCTATATTTTTTGTTTCTCTTGATAATTAGTCAAGATTCTTTTTACATATATACACCCAGAGCGATCATTTCCTCCGTCAGAAACGACATATTAATGTATTAATTTCTACCGTAATCTGATAGTCTGCTTTACTAGTCATTTTTTCACTAGCAACGGTAATCGTTTCTCCCACTATTTTCATCGTTCTACGAGCTTACGGAAAACGACGACATAAAGATGTCGATTTCCCGTGTTTTATATAGTTTAAGATCGTTTAACGTGCCGTTTTCTTGGATCCGAGCACTTCGTGTAAGATTCTTAACTGAAAAAAAAGGTCTTAACACTCTGACAGAATTCATGGACTCCAAACATTTGACTGATGAGGTAAGATTCTATTTTTCTTGAATCTAGTATATTTATCAAAAGAAAGAAAAAAAAAAGGCTACATGATAAAAATAATTTATTTACAATAAAAATACATACCTACTATTATAATTCGTTTTCTACATAGTGATTATTTGAAATTGATGATGATTGATCTATCGACAAGTCCTCTCTTTTGATAGTATTGTTTTTGGAAATTCTAAAATCAACTATAACTTGACCACGACTGGGTCAACAAATTTGTCATTTCTATAAAATATGCTCACTTATATGATACTGACATTCAACTCATAGATTTATTTGAAGAGAATATCTTTTATTTATTAAAATGATTACAAAATCTATTAAGTCCCATCTTGTTGAAAAGAATAAATGATGTATAGACGTTGATATATATATAGCTACATGTACCCAATATGCCTCGATGTTTATCTGAAAGATTAGACAAGAGTTTGTTTCCTTTCTGTCACAATAATCTAGTTTGTCCTTCAAAATTAAAAGGAATCTTGCTAAATCGATAAAAAAAACAAGAATCTGAATAAAGTCCAAAAATGTCGACTAGTGACTCAATTCTTATCTGTATATCAAAGATATCTTATTCAATTTCACTAAATATTAGAGGAGCCTTAAACTTACCCTATGAATTAGTATATCCTATCCTATAGTCAGCTCTGATCAAGAATTAGTTTTAGAAGTTGAGAAACAATAAGTTCAATTAGATTTGTACAATATTTTTGAGTAACAAAATTTCATTCCTTTATACGAGTTAAGATTAAATAATTATTCCAAAAACAAAAAAAGATTCATTAGTTTTATTTTACGTTATTTCTAATGTTTAGATTGGTCATTCGGATATGCCAACAACTGATGAATGTATGGAATTATTTTGTTATTTAACATCATTAGCTGGTTTGTTGTTTATTTTCTTTTTTTTTTTTCATTGAATAATTTATTAATTGACTTTTTTTTTTGTGTAGGTAGTCGAACAAAATTGACTACTGAAACATTATCAAAAGTATCAATGTTTGTCGTAAGTTAAAACTCGATTAAGTAAGATGATTATTCTGTTTCTTTTTATTTTGAACTATTTATAGATTAAATTATGTTTACATGTGGGTAAACTTGAAAATAGATTAGCTGGCGTCGAAGAAACAATTTTAACTATGTATGAAGGTGGATTTCTTCGTTTTCTTCAACCTAATTCGTATGTTTATTGATATTATTTATTAAAATCTGATTTACAAAAAATATTTTGTTTTCTCTAGGACAAAAGAAAAATCCGAGAAAAAAAAGAATAAACAAAAAAACGATGATGAAGATAATGATGAACCAATTGTGCGTCAATCTGTTGTTCATCCAAGTATTATTAAAGAATTTCTTTTACGTTTTTCTGAATATGGTACACGTCTTATGTTATTAATGGTACAAACAGCTTTGAAAGAAACTGTTAATTGGAAAAAACGAGTAAGTATTTGATTTTTATTTTATAATTAAATTCTATTTTTGTATTTCTATTAAAGAATATCGTTTGTGGTACATTGAACAATTTTTTAAATAAAAAACAAGTAAATCTTTTTTTTTTCTATGTTTGTAATATTTTATGTTTTATATTTCATTTAGTTGGACAATTTGGATGAAAAATTATTAAAAGCAACGATTGATCTACTTGTTACGGTAAGAATAAAGTATTTCTTCTAAGGAGAAAAAAAAAGCAAAAGAAAGTATTATTCATCTTAATTCATTAAAAACATGTTGTGTAAATATTAAACGAAAAATAATTTTTTTGTTTTTGTTTTCTTATTCAGATGTGCAATGATTCAAAATCATCAAAAATGGAATCATTACATGTTATAACAGTATTAACACAAAAATTATTACTTATTCGAGTAAGTTTATATTAGATTACCGTTGATCTATACATATAAAATGGTGGAAAAAAGTTTAACAACTACATTTTTATTGTCTACAATATTAAACACTTAGCTCAAATTCAGATCGGGATTTTAATACTCAATGGAGTTTTCTATCTAATGCATTCTATACTAACATTTTATAGATGAACTATGATGGCATGGTAATTATTAGATCTCAGAAAACTTTGTTGAAACTATTTTTTAACAATGCCAGTGCAAAGAGGACAAAATTCTGAACAGAATGAGGAGTCACCACATTTTCAACTATCTTTTCTTAAAAAAATTAAAAGCATCACAAAATCCGAAATTTATGACAAAACTGCTTAAAAATCGACTAAAAACAGACTTTTTTTTGGTTGTTGTGATGCTTCTAACTTTTTAAGTGAATGCCGCAGAAAACGCGGTAGCCTCTCATTTTGTTTAGAATTTTGTCCTCTTTACGATAGCATTGCTAAAAAGTAATTCCAACAAGGTCTTCTAAGATCTAAAAATTATCTTGCCATCATAGTTCATCTATAAAATATTCGTATAGAATGCATTAAATAGAAAATTGCATTGGATATTAAAATCACTATCTGAATTTGAGTTAGATATCTAATATTATAGGAAAAACAGTCAAAAATACGATATTGTTAAACTTTTTTCCAACACTATGTATGAACTAAATTTTATTTTCTAGAATCCAACATTAACTGACAAACAAGCATTAACTTTACTTAATGCTATTTCAGTAGCAATTAAAACAAAACCAATCAATAGTGATAAACAACGTAAACAACTTCTTAATCTTTTACAATCATTTAAGAAAAGGTTTTTCTTTTGTAGTTATTATTATCATTATAAGATATTTATTTTCGTTTTGTTTTTTTTTCTTTGAATATAGATTTAAATTAACAATCAATGAAGAAATCATGAATATGTTGACCATGAAACGAAAATCATCATCAATTACAACAGCAAATAATGAAACAAATAATAAGCCAAAAAAATTGAAAACAAATCCTACAAATATCTCCAATGGAGATAATAAAGAATCTATTGTCGATTGTCGACAAATCCCATTTAAAGGAATTAGTGTTAAAACATAATTCATTTGTTTTCTCTTGTTGTTTTTTTTTATTATTGTTACTCCAAAGGATAAAAAGAAAAAGAAATAATATACGTTTGGAGATTTGTTTTGATTGTAGATAAAAAAAAATATATATCAAAACAAAAAAAATCATGTCTACTCATCGACATGATGCATCATCAATATCGAATGTATCATCTTCTTCTATTGTACAAATAGCATTTAATTCAAATCCAACTCCGCATCATTGTGGTTATTGTAACACAGATGGAAGTTGTTCAGCAGGTTTGTGTCCATCTAGTTTAATTAGCTTACGTAAAATTCATTCATCAAATTGTGGATATTGTCAGACTAGACGTGGAAAAATTTCTTTTGGTAAAGAAAAGGGGTTCGTATCACTTTGCCGAAAATAACTTTGCCGACGCATCACTTTGCCGACACCACTTTGCCGACAACTTGTTTTGCCGACACGTACACTTTGTCGACAACTTGTTTTACAGACAAAATTTGTTGATATTAATAAAAACTGATTAATTTTTTATACAAAAATTCTTTATTTTCTAGAGCTTTTTAAATTCTTTTAATCAAAATTACAAATACCCACCCTCCCCACACCCACACCCTAACTGCTTGTACCGATGTCACTGTTTTTTCTTGAAGCCATGAATGAAGAGTAACTTATGGTGAGATCTATATCTCTTTATGTATATATATCACGTTCATCCCCACATATACGTCCAATCTCGGACTAGCCTAGGCAATCTAAGATTCGCCTGAAAATAGTACGTCCAATGTGACATTGGCCTAGACCAATCCGAGATTGGACGCATTCAAGTATGAACGCTGACATATATATCACTGTATCTACAATAAATTTAAATTTATTTTCGACTTCAGTTTTTTGTCGGCGAAATAAATTGTCGGCAAAAAGTACGTGTCGGCAAAACAATCTGTCGGTAAAGTGGTGTCGGCCAAGTGATGAGTCGGCAAAGCTATTTTCGGTAAAGTGATTGCGACCTAAGAAAAGTATACTTTAAGAATAATGGATTTCTTTTATTATTATTTAGGTATTGTTGCTTCAAAAATGTTAGTTGATGATTATCTATTATTAATGGATCGTGGTTGGCGAAAGTGAGACTTATTTAAAAAAAGAAAAAATTTCTGTTTTTTTAAATAGATTGATTTATTTTCTAATCTATAGATGTGGTACTTATTATTATAAATCATTAATGGATAAAACATGTTGTCCACTTTATACAATACGGTAAGTTCACTTGAACATTTTACTAGAGAATAACTAACCAGAGAATATTTTCAATTGACCAATCACTTTCTCACCGAAAGCTAGTGAATTATGGGCTATCGACCGTGCTGATTCTGAATACGACTATGAGAAATAACTTAAGTCTTTCTATGATGATTTTTTTTAGAAAATCAGTTTTTCAGGCAAACAAAATTTTCGTTAATTTTTTTTTGATCTGTTCAGATTATAGAGTACATCAAGTCGTCTAGAAAACAGTAAATTTTCCGGTTTCAAATCGTTTTTTTTTTGTTGCAGAAAATACAAATAATTTCATACGCTCTGTAATCTAAGCAGATCACAAACGATTTTGACAAAATTTTTGTTCGTTTAGAAAACCAGTTTTCTAGAGAACCAGCATATAAAGACTGAAAAGAATCTTTTATGGTTATATTCGAAATCAACATGGTTGATAGTCCATAATCCACTAGATTTCGACGAGAAAGCGATTGGTCAATTGAAAACGTTCCTTCGTAAAAATAATTTCACTATATATTAAATGAATTGAGTTTGTCTCATGATGATGTCATATTGACTGATAATTATGTTAAATTACCTATATTGATAGAATAAAGAATTTAAATATTGATTTCAATTTCTGTCTAAATTTTCGTTTTGATTAAAATAAAAGAAAACTCATCTCAACTATGACAATAAAATTTAAGAAATCTTTAAATGATCTATTTTTTACAGTTGTGATGCAAACAATTTTGAATTGTCTCGTTCACAACGACGAGTTATTCAAACTATGAATCGATTTATTAATGAGAATATAAAACCCGGTGAACATATCAACGTATCATCTGAACCTCAAACATCTGCTAGTTCAACTCCTTCTATAACGAACAAACAAAAGAAAACAAAATCAACTAGTATTCAATCAAAACGTACAACAAATAAATTTAACAACAATAAAATAAATCTCAACGAATGGATCAAAACACAACCAAATACGAATGCTATTCAATTAATTCGTCATATATTAACAAATGATACACGTATGACCATAAATAAATCATTTTTTTCATCATTTTCCTTCTTTATTTCAATAAAAAAGCACCGTCTGATGAACTTCTCAATCGATTACGATCTCGTCAAAAACGTTGGTATAAAAAATTACTTAAACTTAAAACACAAAATAAACTTTCATTCGAAACTGGTTTGTTAAAATAGGACAAAAATATATCAATTAAATATTTCTTGTCTTCTTTGTTTCTTTTTTTTTTAAATCTATTCAAAGATATTAATTTATTAATCAAACGATTTGATAGAATGAAAACCAATTCAATTCGTTCACTTGAACAAATGTTACAATTTAATGACAAACCAAAAAATAAATTTGAGTGTCGTTTAGTTCGTTCATATCCAACATCTGAAGAATTTTTATGTACATTAAAAGATTCTCATTCAATTTATGAACGTTATCAAATGGCTATACATGGAGATGGAAAATCAGAATGTTCATTTTCACAATTTAAACGATTTCTTTGTCAATCATCTTTAGAAAAAGATTGTTCTCGAATACCATCAGCAAAAATTCCTTCATGTGGTTATGGATGTTTTCATTTACAATATTATCTTAATGGAAAAATTATTGCATGTAGTGTTATTGATATTCTTCCTGGAGGTGTTTCATCAGTTTATTTTTATTATGAACCTGATTTAGGTTTTCTTAAACTTGGAGTTTATTCGGCATTAAAGTAGAAATTTAAACTAGAAAAAAAAAACAAGAATTAATTGAATTTCTATTTTGTCTTTATAGAGAAATTGAATTGACACGACGATTAGCACGTGAAATACCTGATATAAAACATTATTATCTTGGTTTTTATGTACATACATGTGTCAAAATGCGTTATAAAGTAATTATTCATGTGTCATATATGAATAGCCAGAAATTTTTAGTATAATTCTGTCTAAACTAATTGAATTATAAGTTAGATTTTGAAAGATTGTCATTTACTGTTCACCCATAAGATTCATAAAGATTTCGGCCTGAAGTCAAGTTTACCTCATAACGAGTCTTATCTCTATGAATAGTCGGTACATTCCGTAACGCTGACCATTAAGCACTTTGAAGTGTACCAAACATTCATAAAAATAAGGATTGATGAGGTTAACCTCAGCTCAAGCTAAAGCTCCGGTCTCTCAATTGCAATGCTTTACACAGAAATGGTACGGATGATAAACGGAAGTTTTTATAAATATCTATAGACGACAGTGTCTGACAAAAGATTTCGATTTTGACTTATATCTTATCAGTCTATTAAAACTTGTTTATTCACATGTCTCACTTTATAATATGTTCTCTCGTTAACATGTAATAAAATACTGATCTATCTTGTGTACTGGCATAATCGAAAGAAGAATTTTGATCCTTTCTTAGAATTTTTGATTATTTTATAATATTCAATGAGTGAATCGTTAATAACCACTTAATTTTAGTTAGTAACTTTCTGCTTTTGTCAAACTTCGTTAGCAAAGTAAGATTACGATGACATCGAAGCTGTCCGTTTTGAAGCTAGTAATTTTCATATACTGATTCTATTTTTATTTTGTAGAAAATTATATGATGACATTTGTGTTAGCTATTATATGTTATCAAAAAATAGAAAATAATGGATGGCCTATAAAGAACATGACATTTTTAGTGTGTTTTTCTGTAGGTCTTAAAAAAACAGTTTAATGAGTTTATTTTAAGCTCATTCGATTGAGAATTTTTCGTTCTGCAAAAATATTGACTTGATTTTTCGAATAAATTTTTTTTTGCTGACAAAAAATTAAAAAGATTTACAGCTGCTTAAATTTACAATTATGACGGCCAAACAGCACAAGAATAATTAAAATGTTTTTTTTTTAGAAATCAGTTTCTCCGAAATTTGACATATGCTACAGGATCCTTCATAAATTCTACATTGCTCGATGTGTCAGAATTTCACAAAAAAAATAACTGGAAGAAAAAATTTTTGAAGTAAAAATTCGATAATATCACATAGGACTCTGTTCTGATAGGTCCATGACATAGTTTATCTTTAATTGAAAACATTCGAAAAATTTTCATTCTTCAGATTAAGTTTTACATTCGATGGTATAATGATGAATCTTTCATAGAACACGTCTGATTTTTTTTTGCAGACACGAATTGCGAAAATGCATCCAAAAAAGAAAACATCGTTTGATGTTAGTTTCAACATTTTTGCTTCTGAACGACACCATCCAACGACTTGAAAAAAAAAATCTTGGAAGCATAGACCTCTAAATTCTCTATCTATTGATACTAAATACTTTATAATTTGTGCGTCGAACTTGATGAGCGTAGACTTGCACAAATTGTTATGTGTCCACTGAATAACTTTCATTCTTTTCAGTTTTTTGTTTAAAAGAAAAATTTATTTGGAAACTCAAATCAACAGTTTTGTTGAGCGAAAAATTCTCTATCGAGCGAGGATAGAATAGACTCTTCGAACTGTGCGTTAGATCTTCATAATAAGAAAAGGAAAGTGTGTCACTTTTTTTTATGAGCCTTTCGTTAGAAAAAAAAGAAATTTCTTCTGTATCAAATAAATGTTGACAGTTGATTATTCAATAACAAATCTTTAACTGATCGCATTGTTATAGGGTCAATACAAACCATCATATCTTCTCTGTCCTGAAACATATACTTGGCATCGCATTGAAAAATGTATACCATTATTAAATACTCATAAATATGTTCGATTTGAATCAGATTTGAGTAAAGGTTTGTTTACATTTATTAATTGATAATATGTTTTTTAAGAATATGTCTCTCATTGGTTTTTTCAGTTGACGAGAATGAAGAAAATAATACTGAACAACTTAAATTACGTGTGGGTCATCAAATAAAAACACCATTACAATTGCAAGCAATAGATAAACACTATTATGCTTATATGTTAAATCTTTTTAAAACTTTCGCAAAATTTGCCGGACGAATATGTGCCAACCGTATAATAATTGATTTAAATTAAGAATATATATATATATCATAAATATTAATTTCCTTTGTTTTTGAGTGATTTAAACTGTGATAATTAAGACATAATTTTTAGATTTTTCTTTTCTAATGGATGGTTCTGCATTACTTTTACTTAAACAATTACGTGAATTTAATCGTCATCCCGTCGAAGGTATTAGTGCTGGTCTCATTGAAGAATCGAATCCATATGCATGGAATGTTATTCTCGTTGGACCATCGGATACACTCTATGAAGGTAGATTTTTTTTTTTCTATGAAAATTTGATTATGAAATATTTATGACTAGGAGGATTCTTCAAAGCACGTTTGGATTTTCCCAAAGAATATCCCATAAAACCACCAAAAATGGTAAGATTTACTAGTCGGATTTGTTTTTGAAACACGATGTGAAGGGTCCCTTCACCATTTGGGCTGAAATTTTCATGAATGAATGGTCCTCATAAGAAACGCTACTGGTAACAATTTCAGCGCGACATGTTTCAGGAGAATCTTTTTAACTTCGTTATTATAAGAGGTACAGAGCTTGAGATAGTTTCAAATTAAAGCTAACACCTGTGCGCAATAGAATTTTGAAATTCACTTCGATTCGTTTTTTTTATAATTATTTTAGTACAAATGATGTTAAAATAAGAAAAAAAAAACAATGACTTTACGACATTAAATCTCGTTTTCTGAACACAGAAGTCAATTATGAAAAACCTAGTCGAATAAAAATTTACTCTTATTTAGATCTTTCAAAGAAAAAAAATTGACGATATCTTGAATCGAGCAGGAGAGAGTTTCAATTTTTTTTTTGATTGAAAACTATTGTGAGAAAAACGCTAAATAAGTTTATACATGGTTTGTTTTTTACTCAAATTCAGATGAAAAAAAGATAACATGAAAATAGCATATTCGTAATATATTTAAATGGAATTTGTAACAGAAGGCGTAACCTAGCACTATCTGTCGTGCTTAAAATATATAAGAATGCTTATTCAATGTTGATGCAAATGAAAAGATAGTCTTCCAAAAACTGAAACCTTTGAAAAAACCGGGAAAATACGATATTAGGGTCGAAATTTGTTTTGAAAGTCCGCTAAAATTTGGTAGATTTGCGTAAAGTCATATGTATCATGAGAGAGAAAACTTCACTGTATTTTCCTATAATAAAAAAATCAACTTCGATTTTCTCAGGAAGAGATCCCCATAAAGGAGTGTTAAAATATAAATGTAGAAATTTCCCCTTCCTCTTCCATAGACTGTGACAGTCACTTAATCAAAGTCCTTATCCATCGTAGCCCGTGGCAGACTTAGCGACCAATCCAAATTTTTCTGTGGGATCATTATGAAATAAGATTGAATTTTAAGATTATCTGTCTTTGGTTTCATTTCCAAACTCACTGTAACGTGTAACATCTTGCATCACGGACATATCAGTACATTGTAACTCCTTATAGAATCGTTTGATTTACAATATATGTAGATCAATCGTGTTTCACATTTTACTTGCACAGAGATTGCACTAAAAATTTTTATTTTGAATAAGTTGTTGTATTATGAATTTATTTGATTCGTTTGTGATTTGTGTTTAATATTTTTTATCACAGAAATTTATTTCGGAAATTTGGCATCCAAATATTGAAAAAAATGGTGATGTGTGTATATCAATTGTAAGTTCTACATTTTTTTCTGTTTTGAATTATTAATAAATTTTCTGTAGCTTCATGAACCTGGTGTCGATCAATTTGGTTATGAACGTGCATCAGAACGTTGGTCACCGGTACAATCAGTTGGCAAGTTTATATTCTCTTCTCAATTGTTTTTTCATGATTATATACATTTTTTTAAAATTTTTTTATTGTTATCTTTTCTTAGAAACAATTTTGTTATCTGTTCTTTCGATGCTCAGCGATCCAAACTGTGATTCGGCAGCCAATATTGATGCATCGATTATGTGGCGAGATGATCGAGCAGCCTTTAAGAAAAAAGTTGGCGAATGTGTACGAAAAACACTTGAAGAAATGTGATTCGATTTCGTCACTTTTTCTTGTTTGTTTGTTTGTTTGTCTTTAGGAGTCTATACATTTTCATGCACATATTTATTCTTTTTTCTTCCTGATATTGTCTTTATATGTATTAACTATTACTTATCATATTTAGACTCCTTTTTTAATCATTTGAACAGAAACAACATTGTGAAAATAGAGGAAACATATACATATATATATATAAATATATACATAAAACATATTTCTGCTTCTTGTTGTCTTTGATGAAATTTTAGATGGTTAATAAAGCTAAAAAAATCCTTAATTAGAATTTTTCAATACGTATAAATATTATTTAATATTAAGCATATAATCATGTCAAACTACTTTTTTCAACGAATAAAAAATCTGCCGACAACTGCTAATAATAGCAATAATAATAATTCACGATTAATACAACAAACAAAAACAACAATAAACACAGAATTGACACCAAGTATGAGTGATGATGAATTATTGACTAGTGCATTAAAATTTGAACAAACATTACAAAATAAACAAGCTGAAGAAAATGTAACGAAAGCAAAAGGTGGGCATAGATTTCAATTTTCAAATTTTTAAGAAAGAAACTACTACAAATGATTAATTATTTTTAAGTTTGAACTCTGTATATAAAGTAAATCTCAATGAGATATGAAAAAAATCACACAAGAATAAGTTTTCATCAGTCAGTCTCGTCTAAGTTACAACTACTTTATCGAAATTGTAGTCTATGGCATAGTATGTACTATTAAATCAAATAATAATATTTCGATCTGAAATTTTGCCCATAATTAGGTTTGTTTATAAGTAAAATGTCCTAAAAATTTCAGTTAAATAAAATGATTTATTGAGGAAATATGAAATTTTCGAAAAGCACTCATATCCTACGAAAAAAATAAGAATCTCATATAATTTTTTTTTAAATTCAATATCTCGTCAATGAATCATTCAACTTAACTAAAAATTTTCAGGGCATTTCAATTACAAGTAGGTTTAGATATGAGCGATAGTTCAGATCGAAATATTGTTATTCGATTTATTGATACATATCATAGTATAAACTGAAATTCCAATAAAATGACTAGAACTCTGACAAGAAGGGCCAATGAAAGCTTACTCTTTGGAAATTTTTCATATTTCATCGGTATATAGATTATACACAGAGTTTGAACTCAAGAATGATTGATTACTTGGAACAATTTACTCGTTACAACTGTAAAGAGATTGAGTCAATGAAAAATCTGTATATTTGCTTGTTGATTCGAAATTATTGAGAATACTTCAATTAAATATGTAAACCCCATTTTTTCTATCATTATTCTAGAAACTCAAATCAATAACTCGGATATACGATCATTTTTTAAACAACCAGCTTCTTCTATCACCAATGCATCATCATCTTTATCGAAACCACTCAAAAGTAAGGCCAATTTATCACTCGGATATCGGTTTTTTCTTGCAAAGATTTGTATGTAGATTCAGTCAGTACTAGTGATATTCCATCCTCAAATGATCGATTGAAACGGGAAATACATACTATTGTTTCATCATCGAAAAAACGACCAGCTAATGATAGTAGTGATGAAGATATTATTCCACTGGATCTTCCTTCTCCATCAATCGTTCGACCACCTGTGAAAAAATTACCTAATAGTAAACCTGATTTTCATTCTTTTGTTCCAAAAGAACGTAAGTTATTTTCTTTCTATTAATAATCAATAATTTTATATGATCTTTCTCAATTAGAAACGGTCAATGAAAGAACAAAAACGATATTAACAACATTACGAAGTCGTCGAGCACGTGGTGAACAAGTTGCAATGACACAAATCGTTGCCGAAGAACAATTGAGAGCACGTGAAAAATTAATGCGTAAACCAAAACAGACAACAACAACAACAAACGATGAAAAACGTATGCAAATGTTATTTTTAAAAAAAAAAAGTAATTTCATTAATTATTAACAGTAAATCAAGCAAAAAAGCCAATCGTTTCAGTCAAACGAAAAGCTGATGATAATGATTCTTCAGCATCAAAGAAAATTCGAGCATCAGAAAAGGTTTTAATTATTATTTAGTAAAATTTTGCATTCTTCTAAGAATTTCTATGTTTAAAGACACCAAAAAATGCCTTTGAAAAATTAGTACAAGAAATGACTGACACAATGGTTCGTGTTACATTAACTAATACAACAACAACAGATACAGCAACTGTTAGTTCGTCTTCAGCATCATCTTCTTCTAGTATTAATTTAACTATTGTACAACAATCTTCATCATCTATATCAAGTACATTACCACTTCGATCAACATCAACAAATATAAAAGAAAAAAAACCAAAGTCAACAAAAATTCATACATATGATGATTATCTTATTTATATTCTTAAATGGTCTGTTTCACTAATTGATGAATTAGGTTTGATTATATTAATTGTTTTTTTTTTAATTCTATAAATATATATTATTTATTCATATTTTATTAATAGAACTTGAAACCAATATTTTATATAAAGAGTTTCTTGGTGAAGATACTTATCCAGTACCATTACTTGAACTTTATTCTTCATTTGATGAATATGAAGAAATTACATTACCTTGGTTATTCGAAGAAACATTTGAAGAAGTAAATAGAAAATAAAAACTACTACTCAATTATAGTCTATATGATATAATATATTTCTTTTTCAATAGATCAAACGAAGTACGAAAATAAACGATCATAAATTAGCTGGAATAGAATTCGATGCTGTTCTACATCAAATACGTCTTTTTAAATCAGGAATTTATGAACTTAGAAGTCAAATATTACAAAAACGAACTGCTAATAATAATCAATATCGAGAAACGTTTAGTGATGATGATTTAGTTATTATTACTTTGTCAAATCAACCAATAAATAAAATATTTGGTCTTGTTCGAAGTGGAGAACGAATTACAGACAAAGCACGTTTACATAAATCATATCGTAGGTCTATCTCTTCTTTCAATTGTTTTATTTTTTACTTTTTTATTTAATACAGAGTTAAGCACAGGACAGAATATAAAGCAGAATAACAACAAATATTTATTTTAATTTTTAATCAGCACAATACATATCAGTTTAACAATTTGGATGTGAGTGTAGAAATGTTCCGAGATCGCCAGAAGGGGAAAGGATGCGATGACTCTATAGGTCGATTGTAAGTTTTTGTTAAAGTTGACCAGATTTTGAGATGTGAACTTTTTTTCGGGGATTGGTAAGAAAAAAAGAAACAATAAAATGCTGGAACTGCGGTGAAGAAAAATGTAAATTTTTCTATGTTGTGGGCTCACCTCCACTTGGGATATCCATGTGTGGATGTGAAGCGGAGTGTGAGGGAAAGCCATCACATCCTCATTCTTAAAATATGTCAAGTATTACTGACGACTGTACATATTATGCAAAAGTTCTAATAACAATCAGATCAAATATAGGGTCAACTTTTTCGGCCTGCCGTTGCTTGTCCTGCTGAGCTGCAGGACAGGACGATGGGATCGTGGTGTACAGTGCTCAACTCTGTTTTCAACATCATTCTTCATGTAACATCAAGATGTATGTAATCTGAAGGATTTAAGTACAAACTCTTCGATATTCTACATACTTGTTGAATGAAATTGTTAATTAAAACGAGATCTTGTCATATGATGAAAAATTTGAAAAACAAAAAAGAAAATAGTTTTCATTTTGGTTGCTTTTTTTAACTAGTCGATCATCCAGATGTGAAAATACAACCACCAGTATGGTTATGTCATGAATATAATATTCGCATATTTGGTAATGGAATAAAAATTCTTGATGGATCCAAAATAAAAATTAAAGTAGAAAAATAATTTGTAATTGAATAAAATGAAGAAAATTCTTATTTACTTTAGGCAATTACTTCATTAACTGCTACATTACGTCGTTTTAAAGCTCTTGCATCAATGCGTTCATGTCCTTTATTTGAACATCTACTTAGTCCATCATTGAATGATAATATATTTCAAATAACAAATAAACAAGAAAATTGTATGGAAGAAAAATATTATCAGGTAAAGAAACTATAAACATTTCAATATCTTAATAGATTTTTTTTAATATTCAAGGCTTATAATGAGTCTCAACGAAATGTTATTGCTGAAGCTGTTTCAATGATACGTGATACAAAAGATGATAATCAAGCAAAAATTTATATGTGTCAAGGACCACCTGGCACTGGTAATTGAAATTAATAATTCATTTTCTTGAAACAAATTTTATTTTTTTTTCTATTTCTTATAAAGGTAAATCTCAAACAATTACTGGCATTGTTAGAGCACTTTTGGAAGTAAATAATCATCATATTGATTTGATCTAAAATAATATATTATTTATTTTTTAGCCAATATTATCTTCATCTACTTCAAATGATCAATCTCCAACAATATCATCATCTGGTGTATCAAAGAAAAAAATGAAAATATTAATATGTTGTCCTTCAAATGGTGGTTGTAATGAAATAGTTCGTCGTTTAATTGATGTGTTTGCACGTAAAACAACTGATTCAAATAGTGATCAAACTGTATCGAAATGTAAATCGACAAAAAGAAAAAAAACAAATCGATTCCAATAATAAATACATGTTTTCTATAATACTATTTAGTACCATTCAAACTAATTCGTTGTGCACGTGGTGGTGGTGTAAGTCGAGATATTGAAAATTTGTCGCTTGATGTACTTGCTCAAAAACGTCTCGAAGAAGGTTTAATATTGTACAAAAACAAACCAACATTTTAATTGTTATGTTTATTATTTAATTTAGTATTAAATACTGGTGGACAAAATGAAGCTATCGAACGAAATTTAGCTAATAAAGAAAAACAGAAAAAACAACTTTTACAAAGAATTGAAGACGAAAAAAAGAAACAACAAACAACATCTGAAAAACATCAGACTTCTGAAGAGGTTACTTGTTTTTTAAATATTTAATAAGAAAAGAATTAGATGTTCGTTTTTTTTTAAATTTCTATTTATTTAGTTAAAAGATTTAGAATTAAATTTAAAAGAAATAACTGCAAGTATTCTAAAATTACAACAAACATGTCGGAAGGTATTTAAATTTTTCGAAAAAAAAAACATTAATTAACTATTGTATTTGTATATTTATAATTTTTTCAGACAATACCTGAAGCTGCTCGACGTCAACGTGAACGCGAAATTAAATTAGAATTATTACAAGATGCTGATATGTATATCTATTTATTTGTTGTTTGACTTTTATTATTTTATTTTATATTTATTGATTAGCTGTGTTGCAACTCTTAATTATGTTGGAAATCCAATATTTGATTCTTTTTCTCCATTTCATATGAATAATCAAATGAATAAGAATGATAAATTAAAAAAATTACCAACACCAACACCATCATCATCATCTTCAATAGTATCAACTCTATTTAATTGTTTAATTATTGATGAAGCTGGTCAATGTACAGAAATCGATAATTATATTCCACTTCGACTTGGAATGAATCGAATTGTACTTGTTGGTGATCCTGAACAACTGTAAATTCTTTTGTTTTTCTTTATTATTTTTTATGATAATCTTATATAAAATGTTTTATAGTCCTGCTACTATTTTATCTCGACGAGCACTTGAAGCTGGTTTAAATCAATCATTATTTGAACGACTATATAAATTATTTAAATATGATTTAAACAATCCAATTCGTATGCTTAATATAGTAAGTTATATTTACAGTAAAACTTCCCTATGGTAGGTACTTATCTATTCTGGATTGTGGACCAGACCCCCTTCAGGTTCAAAATTTTTGGATCCGGACAAATCCGACAGACTCTACTATGGACATTTTTCCGCTTTTGTCCACGGTAAAGAATTTCTTCAAAGTGAGCAATCCTCTAATTTCATGGCATTTTTTTCAATATTGTTTCAAAATTTGGGAAATTTCAAACACAAAACCTTTTTTATATCGAAAGTCAAGATTTTCTGAATTTTTCTCTTTCCAAATTTTTAGTTACCGTAGTGTTCATTTTCTAGATTTTTCTATTCCAGTTTTTTAGACATTCATTTTTCCCTAGGGCAGAGTTATACTTAGTAATTGTGAACTGAGTAGACCGGTTTTTACGTGAACGACTGTGGGGGAAAACATTAACTAGCCACAGAAAAGGCATGTGCGAGCGATGACGGTAGAGTTTTAAAAAAAACAAGAGAGTTACTTTTCGGGAAAAAAGTCAATAGCCACGCCTGGTGAGTTCATTCAACACTAGTAAGCGATGTACTCTAAAACAGAAGAGTAAACGAGAAAAAAGAATTGAACAAATGTTCATTTAGTTTACCCATGAAGTGACTAAAATTTCCGATTTCTCTTCAAAGCTAGAGTAAACTAAAGTGTATTTTGACTGAAAGGTGTGCAAAAAAAGTTCCGTATGAGATAGACTGTAACAACTATTTCAAAACAAAATATCGAAGAACCTTCCAAAAGTGTACACTTTAGAAAAATCCCTTAAATGTTCACTATAGAGAGGTTATATTGTATTTTGATACTTTTATTATTCATTGAATAAAAATTCTTTTAGCAATATCGAATGCATGATGAAATATGTAAATTTCCATCAATGCATTTTTATCGTTCGAAATTAAAAACAGATAAGATAATAAATCAAAAACGGTAAAGAATTAAAATCATTCGATTTATGTTATATTTGTCTTTTTTTGTCGATTAGAAAAAAATTTCTATTAAAACCATATATGATACTTGATGTTGTTAATGGTCAAGATCAACTTGATTCTATTACACAATCTTATGGAAATCCACTTGAAGCAAATATTGTTGCATGTCTAGTACAATTTATTAATGAACGAGCAAAAGTACCATTCAATCGTAAGTCATTTTTTTCATGTTCTTTTTTTTTTTCAATGAAATTATTTATTTATTTTTTTCTATTAGAAATTGGTATTATTACTCCATATAATTACCAAGTTAAACTTATTGAACAAAGACTTATGCAATACAATCTTCATCAACATAAAATTGAAATTGGAACAGGTTTAATCATTTTATAGAAAAGATATATTCCAGTATGTTAGATTTTCTTTTTTAATCTAGTCGATGCTTTTCAAGGTCGACAAAAAGATGTTATTATTTTATCATGTGTTCGTGCTACACAAATTACTGATACAACAACAACAATAGGAATTGGTTTTGTTGCTAATCGACAACGATTAAATGTTTCATTAACTCGAGGAAAATATGCAATGTATATATTAGGTCATATGAATTCATTGAATGTAAATATTTATTTATTTATTTTTAAAAACAAAATTGATACATCATATTGTTGAATAGATAAATGACGATTGGCAAAAATTATATTCAAATGCTGTCGAACGAAAAACTATTGTTCAATTGACATCAACTGATCAATTTGAATGGCTTATAAAACGCCAACAAGAACTCCAAATACATCATAATGAAAACAACTGAAAAAAAACACAAATCTCTTTTTTTTTCTAGTGATATTAATCTTTCTTTTTGGTTATTCTTGTACAGTTTTGTTTTTTTTTCTTGTTCTTGGTTTCATATCTGTAGCTTATTTATTTGGTATTTGTTATCGGTGTCTATTCTTTCTGTATCTTTCCTGGTGATGTTCTATAGACATATTGATTTATATTATACTCGAATATCTTTTGAAAACTTTTGTTAAACATAAGAAATAAGAAAGAAAATATTTCAAATAAAAGATAAAATATATAAGAATGTTTTTAGATGTCTACACTACGTCTTATTTCAACGTTACGTTCACCATTATTAATAAATAAATGTTGTCGAATATTATTTTCGTTTTCTCAATTATCATTTCAATCTGTACTACCGATCAATATGTATTCTAATGTTCAAGAAAGAACACAACAGATTTGTTTATTTTCTTCTTCGACAATTGTTTATAATCGACGTCGAGATACAATAAATTCAAATGTTACAGAAGAATTTGATGATGAAGAAGAAACTGAAAATGAAGAAAATAATGAAACAGATCAAGTAATATCAAGTTTTTTTTTTTTTTTTTTTTTATAACACTATTTAACTTTAACTTGCTTATCAATAGATTGATTTTATTATAGGATGAACAAGAAAAAATAAGAAATCGTATTCAACAATATAAACTTCCAAAAGGTTATTTTAAAGTTTGAATGAACAAAAACAAATTTTTGACTTTGTTTGATGTTTAGGTTATCGAATAATCATTCGACATCTTGCTTCACTTCGTCTCGATCTTATCTGTTCAGCAGGTACTGGTATAGGACGAAGGTAAAAATTTCGGAAAATTGTTCGTTTATTTTTTCTTTTTTTTTTAAATAATTTTGTATCTGTAGTGCAATTGAAGATGAATTCTATGGTTCAAAATTACGTGTAAATGGTGAAAAATCCACAAAAAAAGCACAACAAGTATTATATTGAGTTCATTTTATTATTAACTTTGATCTAATATTAACATATTTAAGGTTAAAGAAGGTGATATTATCGATTTAGTTGTATCACGTACAGAAGGTGCAAAATACAATTCGAAAAGAATCATTGTTTATAAAGTCTTTGATGAAAAATCACTTAAAAACAAAGTGAAAGTATGTTTAATTGCATGGCGTCAAGCAATAGAAGTTGATGGATCACAATGGAGTTAGCTGTTAGCTATGTGTTTCTTATTTTAATAATAAGTTGTTATTAGACAAATAAAAAATAACAAAAACTAAATTTTAAATTTATAGAAATATGAAAATGAATGAATTTATATTCACATACTTTCTTATTTCATTTTATCAAAACAAAATGAATAGTTGGTTACCTTATTATTTAACAAAAATCATTTTTCATTTGGTTCACAATAACGATAAAAGAGTTGTGAACATATGCCAAAAAGAACAAAGCAAAATTTAGCACGATTGAGTTGAATAACTTAAAGATCACCAAAAATCGGTTCCACTTGCAAAAGGAATAAAAACATACACACATATATGAGTTATATTATCAGATGGTTCGTTTTGTAACAAAAATACTTTATTTGTTCTATCAGGAATCATGGGTGAATAATTTTAGAAGTGATTTAATGAGACCTATAAAAAATAAAAAGAAATGTGACTAATTACTTCAAATAGAAATATCATGAAAACAAAAAAACACATCAATCAATATTTGTTTAACAATGATTTAAGTATATCCAAATATGTGTCCGAAACAGAGATAGTAATTTGGATGAGACCGAGTATCAACGAATCAGAACTGGTCAAGTCAAGTCAAGTCTGACTTGATTTGTCCAGTTCTGCAGTGAGTAAGTAACATTTGTCTTTAGAGTCACTTGCTTATCGATTCTATATTTGTCAGTGAAAATACTGACTGTATTAGGAAGTATGCAAACGTTAATTGCTTTATTTACGTTGATATATGAATCTTTTCTATTCAATTGAAATATTGTAATGAAGTTGTTTCTCCTTTTATGGATGATTCAGTATGAATTTGATCGTTAAATAGACATCATATGACCTAATTAAATTTGAATATTGAAATACGAACTAGATCTTATACTATGATTAATGTTGAACTGTCTATTATGTACTATTATTTATAATTATCAATCATGTTTATTCTTCTTAGTTAATAATAGAATTATAAGCCAAAGACAATGTGTATACTAAATTATATCGTTTTCAATGGTGTTTTCAGTATTATTCGATGAAGTATTTGTTATTTTCACGAGGCCATTCGGAATCTAAAATAAGATCAAAAATAAAAAGTATAAAGATTTGATGTTTTATATGAGCGAGAGTTTTATTTTTTGCTAACGAATTCATTTGGTAATATTGTTCGAATTGTTAAGATTTCGAAGCATAGTCTCCAATTCTATGATAACACAAGAATATATAATCCGAAAGATAGTTATATGGTATTTACCTTTCTCAAAATTATTGTCATCTAAATAAAAATTTTCTATTGAAATATATATTTCCATGATATTTTTCTCATTATCAGCATAACTGCAAAAGATTTTATAATATATTCTAAGAAAATATTTTCAAATAGGAATAGTATAAGAAGAAAACCTTAAAGAATGATAAATAATTACCCCCCCCCCCTCTCTCCCATGATAATTGATACTTGTATGCAATACTAGAACAAGTAAAATACAATATCCATACAGTTTTATAAATTATTTATATTTCTGCCACAGTCAAATATGAATGACTTTTTTGAAATGTGTGTGATATATAGTAGATAGTATTGTGCACACAAAGAACGGATAAATAAATCAAACAAGAAAAATAAAAATAAAAAAGGTTCTAATAATGAATCACCACATTTGAATACTTCTTGCTTATAATACGATGACGTTTAATGATAACTGCTACTATTAAAATACATTGTATAGCATGGATGATTAGATGTATGAATAACATTGTTTTTCAATATTAATCTTTGTATTTTTTGGATCTATAGCTGAATTAGGATGAATAACGATTGAAAATGCTGAGACATTTCAAAACTTGAAGTCCTCGAATAAAATCATCCAGTGGTGCATCTGAAAAAAAGAAATATATATGTCTTCAAAGTTTCATGTTTTATTTCTCGTTTCGTCTACTCAAGTAACTACTATTTGGTTCTGCTTTATATTGTCAGATTAAAGCCTTTTTTTTATTAACAAGAAAACTTGCCTAATACATATATAATTGCTTTATTTTATGTGTTTTAACGTTAATCATATGGTACTACATTCTAAGAGATTTTGGCGTACATATGTAACTTATATTGATGATAAATCAGATGCCAAGAAAAGATTCTCTAATTCTATTTAATTGGAGTGTTGATGATGAAAAGTACAGTAGGATTTTCTTGATGAGATTCAGTTTCTCAATTTTGTATCTTTCACGTTAGCCACTGGAACGAAACATTTGGGCCGACAAGACAAGCGCTTCAACTTAGAAATTGTTTTTGAGTTGGGGACTATATACATTATGTAGAGTCTACATGAGCTATGAAAACAGTGAAAAAAATTCAGGATCCTAGCTTGATGCGAAAATACTGCTTTTTTACGATATTTTATAAATGAATGTCGTGATCCTCATCAGAAACATCAGAAAAACTGGTTTTCAAGTTTTCATTTGAAACTTTGCAACGAGACAAGCGTTAACTAGAGTAGTTTATTGTGAAAGTTTTAAATCGTTTTGGTGTTCCTATCGTAAGATACGTCAATGATAAAAGCATATCTTCTACATTGCTGATATACTTTGACAGGTTCGATGTTCCTATTTCAGGATAGGAACAAATCAAAAGACTTGAAACTTCGACAATAAACTTTTCCATTAAGACCTGTCGCTTTGCAAATTTTCAAGTCGAAAATCAGTTTTCTTAGTGTTGTTGACGGGAACCATGACCTTCGCTTTAAAAAATGCTATAAAATCCAGTATCTCCACATCAATCAGCTACGAAGTCGAACTTTTTTCACTTTATTCATAGCTCATTAGAATCTACGTGATGCACATAGTCCCGACTCAAAAATGATAAATCCCTTGAAGACTATCTCTTTGTTGAGATTGTTTTAATTTGTTAACTTACTATAATATTCAACAAGTCCATGATATGTTTCTATTGTAAGTCGATCATCAATCGATTGTTGATTTCCACCATACTCATCTGTACAACATCTGTTGTCATCACTAGTAATAGTAGTAGAAGTAGAAGTATCACTTTCGTCTTCAATAGTCACACTTCTTCGTTTGTCATTATTTTTCTCACTAATAGAAGAAGAATTTTCCGAATCAATACTTTCATTATCGATCTGTTGAGATCGATAGGATAAATATTTTGAATTGTACGATGGCGTATATGGAAATGAAAGTGAAGAACCAGGATATTGAAGATGTAATATTTCTAGACAATGATATTGCATTTGTCTTATACATAATTGAAGATCATGATGTAATTGTTGTTGATCAATTGTTAATGGATAATTTTCTTGATGTTGTTGAGCAATAATAATATTTTGACTTTGTTGATAGAGTTGTTGTAATTTTATTTGATGATATTGAATAATATTATTCACATAAAGTTGATTAAGGTCTAAATAGTACAAAAAATAACTCAATTTAAATATAATAAAAAAAAACATATTTAACCAGTGATTATATTTTGATGTGATGGAGAAGTTATTTTTTGTTGATAGTTCAAATTGGTATTCCATGTTGAAGGTGAAACAAAGGGAGGAGTAGAAGATGAATATGGATGATTATCAATATTGAGAATATTAGAAGAAGGTGGTACAATGATATGTTGTTGTAAATCTGATGTTGTCATTGTCATCATACTAGGACTGAGTGGATTTAATTCATTTGATAGTTTTTGAGCATCATTGATTTGTTTTAGTTCATTTCGAATTTCTTCACATTTAATTAAACATGTATCACAAAGATTAAATATAATATTTGTTTGTTTATCATAATCTTTAATTAATCTTGCTTTAGCTGCTTTTTTCAATGTTAATGTTTTATTATTCGGTGAATGTAAAACAGTTTCAGCTGCATAGTCAAGTGATGCACGAGGATCATCGGCTAAAAATTGTGTTTGATGAGTTGTAAAATAGTTTCGACAATTTGAACATAATGGTAATTGATCATAATATCGTGAAATGAAAAAGACAAGTTCATAATCAATATTGGAATATTTTTGCCAACGTTGATTTGCTTTATTTACTTTTTCTTCTATTTTACGTTTCTTTTCTTCAGATCGCTTAGTACGTTTTTTTTGACGACGTTCACGTACAGATTCTTCACTACCTTAATGAAAATTTTCAGATTTTTATTTATTTTATACTAACAGGAACCCGTGAATACTGCACAATCGTTTATTTTATTCATCGAAAGCAAGGTTTTTCTGGTGATAAGGAAATAATCAAAGATGTACTTAGAGCTGTTATATCCACCATTTCAACGCAAATTACTTGGATGGATAGGTGAGTGTTAGTAGTTGTAGGATGTACAGTAAATGTATTGGCTGTAGGTGTAAGGTGGGTGCTACTTCGTGATCTCTAATACAACTGTAACCTCATCTACCGATATCCCAAACTACACTCACATCCATTCTCTTCTATCCACATTCTTACCATTGAACCGGGCACAAACACATTGAACATTATATATAGATACCTTTATGCATAACAAAATGACGGCTACCATCTTTATTTAAATGATCCTGTATTTTAAGTCGCCATGTTTTGTCAACTTTTTTATTAGTCGGAATGAAAATATCACTATTCGATTTGGATAGATTGATGGTTTGATCAGTTAATAACGGTGAATCATATGTAATCGAATTAATATTTTGAGATGAATAGTCAGATAGTGATCGTTGTTTGAAAAGTAAGTAATTCATACGATCAATAGGATATCTATGTTGATGAGCAAATATAATCGAATCATTTTTTCGTTTGCGAATAGATGGAATAGATAAAGATAAACACCGATAAATTTGATTTCTATGATGATGATCACAATGTGAACAAATTGACACACAACTATTGCTGCTATCTAATTTGATTAGTGATCGCCTATACATACGTGGAAAAAAAAGAAAGTAAAATTAATTAAACTTCACTCCTCGTTTTCTTACCGGTTCGAACGAATTTTGTTGTTCACTTCTGATTTATCTATTGGAAAACAAAAATCCATTGACTGTTTCACATATGTAAATGTTGTTTGCTCTTGTGGTAGTTCAGCATTACCAATATCAATAGCGATCAAACTAGGATATTGTTTTCCATGAATGATTGAAGATGTGCATTCATAAGGTAATGTTTCAGCACAATTTTGAGATTCGTTTAAAGAATGTGCAACAAGTTGCTGTTTGGATAATGCTATCGATAATGGTATTGTATTATGATTATAAGTTAGTATTTGTGATCGTATTCGACAACGAATCTTTCTCAACATGGAAACTTTTAGCGGTGGTGAAAAAATATGACAGATGGATGATGGATATGATGCAACAGTTTGCTCTTTCTCTACGTTTCTCATTATGAAGTTCGATGTAGATTTTTGTTGTCGTGTTCTTTTACTCTGGTACGTATGAGAAAAACATAATAAAATTTTAATTAACCAGGAGTGAACCATTGTAAAAATAATCTGATGTTCATCAAACAATATTAATAGTAGAAATAATAATTCTGAGAGAGCCATCGATCATAATTCTGGCTTATTGAAGAGTTCATGCCAAGAAAAAAGAATTAAATATAAAAATAAAAGTATTATTGGATTGTTCGGCATGCCAACTTTTTTTATTTTATAAAACAAAGAAAACAAACACGATAAAGTTTGCGCTTAAAAAAAATAATAACGATTAAATTTCATTTATATTTAAATTTCGTTGTGTGAAGAAAATTTAGTATTCAACTGTATTACAAAATTATTTCTTGTCGTTTAAGTATAATAATGATACAATCGTCGCTATTCTGATACATATAAACTGTAACTTTACATATAATTATTTGCAAATCAATACCGAATATACTGAATTTTTTTTTGTTTCGTTTTCTCTTCGCAAAAAAATGAGAACCTCTGTTATCAAGCTTGAATTCTTTTACAACTGATAAATTTATCGTAAACATAATGTACATTGATTGTTTATGATCTCTGCTATTCGTGTCGTTAGTTTTTCTTCTTTCTGTAGATAATAATTGATAAATACTGACGTTGTATACTGAAAAAATGTTCATATTATTTCAAAAAAGTTATTTTTTCTTGTATTCTATTTGTAAAATCATGTTAACCGCCATCTATAAATTAAACTTTCATGAAATTCTTTATAAAGTTCAAAATATTTCAGCAATAGGAGCGCACAATTTCGAATCAACAGAAAATTCATAAAATGTCTTTCCACTTAAGTATTCATGAGAATTTGTTCACTTAAAAAACCCATGAGATAATAGCAGTTTATTTTATATTATGTTATTACTACATCCCATTCTATTTGTCAATACTGCGCATACTTTTTTTTTACTAATGAAAATTTGTTCACAATACACACACATAGAATGGCAATGGTTGTTTATAATCATTTCTCCTAATTCAGAAGAAATAGAAACTATTCATATAGTGAACTGGCTTGTCTCATAATATTTCATCCTCTACAATTTGATATGACTATCCTATACTTATTATATAATTTTATTACAAAAGTATATTAAGTGTCAAACATAGATGCATTGTTATAATTGGTAGAATGTTAACCTATCTTAAAACAACAAAAAAATTGCTGTTAGTTAACTTAATATACATATGACTTGAATTGTTTTAAAGAGAAAACAGTTTTTAAATATAACATAGTCATTAAAGGTTATTGAAATGGATGAGTGTTCATGTGCTCAAGTTATAAAGTACCAATGTTGCCTAAAATGTGAGATTTCACATATATGCGATGGTTCAATGTTTTAAAACGAAAATTTAATTTTGAGTAAAACTCATCAAGATATACGTCCATAGAAAACTCTAGTTCAATCAATCAAGTCGTTCTTAAAATATGGTCCCATCAGAACCCTCCTTGATATAAATACTCATTTTTAGGGTCTTTCAGTAGAACACTCAATTAAAAAATCGAAAGTTTAATATTTTTCAAAACAACTTGCAGCAAAATTAGTAAGACTCCGCATTCTACAACACATATTAAATTAACCAAAATTGAACGACCTCAATTCAGTATGTTCGGTGGTGATTTATTGGAACTGACTCATATGAATTAGCTCAATAAACATTATTAGTGAGGATGGCGGTAAGCCACTCCTCTAGTTTGTCATCATACTGGACTTTGGCACATCATATGTAGTTTTTTCTTATAATTGAAGATATACATGTATATGTATTATGGTGATGTGACTAATAAAGTCGTTTATCACCTGGCTTATACTGATTGCTCTTTTGAAGGGTTTTTGTCAATACTCAGAAAGAAACCAGATGTGAGAGAGAGAGAGAGAGAGCTTTCAAGAAGAGAAGAAGGCAAAAGAAAATAATAAACATATTGTGGTGCCTGGGTTGATAAATACAGATAACAATCAAAACATATCTATACAAAGAGCAAGAAGAATCACTTTATAATCGACTTTGCTTGTTTTTTTGTGCATTCATTTTATCAAATTAATTTCTATTTCTAAATAAAATGTATCCAAATATTCGAGTTGGTGCGAACTATGGATTAGTAAATAATCTTTGATTCATTTTCTTTTTCGCTTCATAATTATTTATTTGTTTTTACTAGCCTGTACCTTATCAAACCGTCATTTCACCTGCACTTTCAAACGGTACACAAATTCATGTCAGCGGTATAGCTACTGGAAACAGGTCTTTCTATTTATAAATACAGCAAAATCAATTTTTTTTAAATAATTGTATATATAATATAGATTTGAAGTTAATCTAAAAAATTATCAAGATGATGTTGTCTTACATGTTAATCCACGTTTCGATGATAATGCACTCATTCTCAATAGTGGTAAGATGAAAATAAATGTGCTCATATCGGTGAAATATTTTCTTTCAATATCTAGCTCAGCACGGATTATGGGGACAAGAAGAACGCCATGGATTGCCAATCTATCGTGGAACACCGTTTACAATGGTTATCTTAGCGACAGATTGCAACTTCAACGTATATCAGATTATTGTAATAGATAAATTTGAATAAATTTGTTTTATGAATTATTGTAGATTGCTGTAAATAATACTCATATTTGTGACTTTTATCAACGAACACCAATGTATTTGGCTCAACTAGTTGAAGTTAAAGGTGATATTAATTTAGAATCTGTTCAAGTTTATCCAGGATCAGGTTCTATGGGTAGTGGCATGGGCTACTGTCCACCACCTCCACCATCTGCGGGTAGAGACTTTATTGTTGAATCTGGCTTCCCATCAGCTCCTCCGCCTTTCGTGGTTTGTATATTGTATTAATCTTACATAAAATATTATTAAAGTAATAATAAAAATACAGGGTAGTGGTGTACCATCGATACAATCATGTAGAATACATACAGGTTCTCGTATTTTTGTACGAGGTTTTATTCCTCCTGGTGCTAATCGATTTGAACTCAATTTATTACAAGGTTATTCGGATAGTGATGATATAGCTTTTCATTTTAATCCACGTTTTGATTCACGTACAATAGTCAAAAATTATCGACGAAATAATCAATGGGGTCAAGAAGAAAATCAACCATTTCCATCATATATGCCTTTAATACCAGGTTCATCGATTGATTTACAAATAACATGTAATACGGATAAATATACGGTAAGATATTGGTTTATATTCAACATATCTTACACGTAAACTATTCTACGTATTGAATACTTTAGGTATTTATGAACAATTATTTTATTGCTGAATTCTATCATAAAATTCCACCTGGTTATGTAAGTATCATTGCTAACAAGATTCCACTGTTTATCTTTACTTAATACAAAATAAAAATCTTCGTTTTTTAGGTTATGGCCCTTCAGTATAAAGGTGATATCATAATTAGTGGTATTGGACAATTATGAACAGTTCATTATTTACAATTTATACTTTGAGTCAATTCCAAACCGAATTTTTTTTTTGGGTGTTTTGAATATTTGGTTATAGGATTTTTCAGATTGCTTTTTTGGCGATGTATTACAATTTTTTTCAGAAAATAAAATATGAATTAATTTTTTGAAGAATTTCGAAGTTTCGACTTATCACATGTTTCAAAGTTCATGTAATATCACTGGAAAATTTTCTTTTAATTTTATAATAGATTTCAATAAGTCTTGTAGACTTAAGTTGAAAAAGAATTTAAAGATGATGAGAAACAAAAGAATTATGGGATGGTGGCTATAAGAAAATAGCGATGTTCATTAAATTTTATACTTGCAATTTTTCTAACTCGTCCTATTTGATCTGAGAGATCTTCTATTTCTTCTAAAAAACGATTAAATCGATAATATTTATCGAAAGTAAATATAATAAAGAGCATTTTCAATTGAAGAACCACTCAACAAAAGTATTAGTTTTAAGCATTGACTTTCTTTTTATTTTCAAGATTTCGAAAATCATTTCTATTAAAAAAAAACCACGAATAAAACCTGGGAGTATAACAAAACTAATTTTGCGTTATTAATCATCTGCGTTATTTCACCACCTTGTTTTATTTTTTCTTCGATAACGTTGTTAGTCATTGTGTTTTTACTAAAAAAACCCACTTTATAAATCTGCACGCAAAACAAACTACAGAGTATCTGTGTATGCACAACTATTTTTGGCTTGTGGATTTATTTGATCAACTAGATAAGGCTTAATGCAGTGAGTAATTGTTTTCTCATCTTATCAATGTCTCTCTCTCTCTCTCTCGTTTTTTTTCTCCTATATTCTCAGAGAATGTATAGATATATAAATCAAGTCAGTTATAATCTTATTTTGTCTATTTATATACCTATCACAAAAAGAGCAACACTAACTATTCTCTTCAATCAACATGGGCCAAGTATGTAAAAAAAAAAGAAAGATTTTAGCCAATAAATATATAAATGTATTTAATTTTTATAGCAAACAAGTAGTCAACGCTATGTAAGTGATTTTTAATTTTCTTTTTTCTAAAAACGAAGAAATCTATTATCGTTGTATATTCTTTTATGTCTAGAATTTACCTTTCGAAACAAGTATTTCACCACCATTGAGCTATGGTTCTCAAATACAAGTTTATGGCATTGCTACTGGTGACCGGTAAATGTATTGTTTGATAATTTCTTTCTTATTAACATTTATTCTATTTTGTCATCAATTTAAAAAGATTCGAAGTTAATTTGACTAATCGACGAGGTGATATCATATTACATGTCAATCCGCGTATAAACGACCGGCAATTAGTATTGAACTCTGCACCTGGTGGTAACTGGGGCAATGAAGAACGTAAACCATTAAATATTTCAAGTGGTCAACAATTTCATATTATCATTATGGTTACATCACAAGGTTTTAAAGTGAGATTCATATCTAAATAGAATCATATTAGATTTCTATTATTGAATAATTTTTAAGGTTGCCATTAATAATCAACATACGGCTGATTTTAATTATCAAATGCCATTCAATGCAGCTGATACAGTTACTGTCAAAGGTGATGTCAATTTAACAAATATTCAAATTTATCCAGGCTTTAGCCAACATGGTCAACCATTACAATTCGCAATGGTTAGAAATAGTATTCATATATCATTTATTTGATAACTAAGCCTTTTTGTTTCTTTTTTTTTAAAGGAAACTCCAATTCCTGTCAATATGTTTCCTGGTAATATTTATTTATGATAAAATATGTAAATTAATAAATATTTGTTGAAAATAAAACATAGGTCGTGTATTACATATCAGTGGTCGTTCAAACAGTAATGCTTCACGATTCGAAATCAATTTATTGGCAAACACCTATCAAGGAGCTGATGTAGCACTTCATTTCAATCCACGTTTTGATCAACGTGAAGCTATACGTAATTCATGTCAAGGTGGTGGTTGGGGTGTAGAAGAAAAACAAGGTGGATTTCCATTAGAATCAGGTCAACCATTTGAAATTCAAATTATCTGTTTTCCAGAACATTACCAGGTTAGAAAAACTAATGACATTTTTTAAAACTTTTCTCACAACACATTATTTCTCTCTTGATATAGATCAATTGCAATAATCAAGCATGGTTCACCTTTCGACATCGTATTCCGTACCACGCTGTTCAAGCATTGCAAGTCAAAGGCGATGTTACAATTTCAAATGTACATGCTATGTAGAGAGAGAGACAATTCAATTATATTTACTTTAAAAATAAATTAAAGGGCTTATAGGAATTCATTAAATATTTTGAACAATTCTCACATATTCGCATTTCAATAATATTAGGATTAAACTAATAGAGACGAGAATAATATTAATCCTTAAGGAGCTCGTTTAACTATTCATACTTATTTATTAAAATTAGGTGATTCAATGGTTCGAATGAATTTAAGTGTTTCAATTGGATTCTTCAGTTCGAGGAAAACTATTTCACAAAAATACAGATAAAATTATGTAACTTCACCAAAAGTTGTCAGTGTCAAAAAACCTGAATCTATCGGTCATTTTTTAACATTTTCCTATTTTATATTCTTGTTAGATGAAATCTATTTATTGAAGTATCGAATTTTTATAAAGCTTGACGAAAGTTACTGACAATCAATCATCATTGATTGAGAAAACTTAATTCGACAATTTCGGGAAACTATTTATAGATTCGAATTTCTTGACAATCGGAGCTTTCGGTCAAATTATATCAATGATCGTTACTTCCAACAAAACCCATCTGCAACCGAATAGAAAATAAATTGAAAGTTTCAATAGATGATTAATAGATTCTATTTCTTTCCCACGCAATATTATGCTACTATGTAGTTACCGACAGCGTAATGTGAGCTTCTCTTACCTAGTGCTATTAAGCGAAGCTTGCTAATCAAATTAGACTATTTTATTACAATAATCAGTAGTATCATATAATAGACAAAGATTAATTCAGATTGACACAAATCCTGAAACTTAAAAGTTTTCAGATTGATTTTAATGTAGATTCACGCCTAATTTTGATTATGTAAAATGCCGAAAGTTCTCACTATTATTACTTATAATATTACTCGTGTAATTTGAATTGATTTTTAAACTCATTCTTCAATTTCTTATTGCATATTATGTATTGATTGAACATTTTGAAGAAATCTTTTTTGCTGAATAATTTATAAACGCCCATTAATAAAATCATGTCATACAAGAGTTTGTTTTTTACTATGAATCTTTAATGTATAGGATAATATGTGAACAAAATAATCATATATCACTATAAGAGATATGCAAGATCACGTTCTTTTTTAGTCTCGATCCTGGTGCTACATGTTTATTCTTTTGACCTCGATCGTGCTCATTCCTAATCACTATATACAATCCTATGTGTGCGTTCTATAAGTTTATTCATTTAAGATGGTTTTCTTGTACTTTTACTAAATAGATTATCTATGGATATAAATTAAAAGCAGAACAAAATGATTATTTTATGGGTATTGCTATAGCTTATTATAAAAATTCTCTCATATTATTTGAATGCTATAAAAAAAATCGCGAGGTTTTTTTTAATTTCATGCTGAAATGCTTGTGTGATTTAAATAACACTTTATTTGTTTAGGTTTTCACTAGAAGACTAAAATGATATTAAAAAATTGTTTTAAAATAAAAGATCTGACAAGACAAGCTAAATCTTTGTTAAGTACCTTGAGACAGAAAAACATTTTAATTTACAGAAAAGTGAATTATACACATATTCACATCTTATTCTCGAAAGACCGAGTTTTTCATTTGCATTTTTTTTCATTACATATTTGTATGTCCCATGACACTTGATCTATTTGTAAACAGTATCTAACATTATGCCAAGGTATTTTAATAGGATCAGAAATCTTTTGATTTATTTTAAATTTGAATTGAAATATATGAAATTGAGACGTTAAATATTTATATATAGATTTTTAGTAAAAATTATTCATCTTTATCATGAAAAAATTTGTTTTCCGTATAGTCTTGTTATACCTTTCTCTTTCGATATGCAGAATATTAATTTATTTTTAATAATATCTACAAGAAAACTTAGGCAAAGATTAGCATAGTTATTAACAAAATCGTAAAATAAAATTCACACTTGCACTTTAATTTTATTACTCTAAGAGATCTTGAGAGGTGATTAATCAGTCAAGAAAATTTATATCGTATTTTTATCTGCATTTCTAACATGACTTTATTTATTATTGAAAACATATCTTTTGTTTTGTTTGTTATCATGATCTTATTATTTATGAAAGTTTTTAGTTCAACTTAAATCTACTGAGTACATTCATTCAATTTCATCATACGTATCAGTACATGCTATCCCGTATCTCAATGAATTTGTGAAACATCATTATTGATTTATTTGTCAAAGATTACAATATCATTATCTCATATTTTCTCTATGGACTTCTTATACAATGCATCGTTATGTGTCAGTTGTAATATATCTATCGTAAGATCATATATCTGTCTTATTTTCTATTAATGAATTGGCTCGAATGATACTAAACTGGTTTTACTCTTTTTCGATGTTTCTTTTTTTGCTACTAAAGTCAGGGAAGTTGATTTTGCATTCAGTGATCCTTATTTTGTATTTGCAAAATGTGAAGCCAAAGCAGAAAAGTCAACAGAATCTTAAATTCAATACATTATGTTTCTATTTCTTCGAAAGTCTGAATAGATTCATTATACAATACACGAAAAACAAAACTATAAATCTCGTCCATGGTTAGAGTTGAATTATGTCTTCTGTTATTGTTTTATACATCATTTATTCTTTATTAATGTTTTAAAAACTAAAAGATCCCTAGTGAATGACAATTTTATTTTTGTATCAAAAGTCAGGTCATACATGACGAGAAAATGAAAGAGTACGAAATATACTGAAATCATGTTACATACATGGTTGGGTTATACCCATAAGATGAATCATATAATTGTATTTTTACTGAGTGATGCAATCAAGATGAGGTTGAAATCCACCTTAGTAGATAAAAAGAGACAGACATATTTCGATAGACAAGCATTGTCAACAATTATTAGAAATGTCATCTATTGTTTATTCGTATCATTGGATACGTATTGCAGTCGACGAAAATAAAAGAATATCTTCTCAATCGATTAAATCAATACCAACAGCATTAACACAAAATTCAACTAGATCGAAGAAGACTCTCAATTCCTGGCTATATTCAATATGTGAATACCTGAAGAAATAATAATGAATAAGCTAGTACTCAGAAGAATTATCATTACTTTGAAGTACTTTTTCTACATCTTGCATGCACTCAATAATTGATTTTTTTTTATAAATAATTGTTTTTTTCATTCTATTTTGTCTATTAAATTTTTTTTTCTTAGAATTCTATTAATACAAAAACCATATTATGATATATAGACGTCCTAGAAAATACCTTGTATCTCGTGATCTCATTTTTGTTTGGCACTCATGTTGAACACATTAGTTCAATTCTCTTGATAATTGCTCTTATGAATAACACCTAAATAAAATAAGTGAAAAAAAAAATAAGAACCAGAAGAAAGGAGTATCTATTGATCATCTACGAGTTATTCCAACTATTTTCCTTTCTAATTGTGGTTATAAATAAAATGACTGAAATATTTTTCGTCATCATTATTCTTTGCTTTATGAATATTTCTATTACCAATGGTTATTATGTTAACGATCGAACTTTAGACACTTTAGGTAAATTCAAAATAAAATAGTTAAACATATTTTTTAAAAGTTTAACGGCATTATGCCTTATGATATTTATATAGATCATGAACTACCAAAATCAATGTTAAATAAAACCACAGATTCCTTATCTTCTTCAGTGAACACTCATCATTGTGTACCAGTACAAGCGGTAAAAGAACTTGGTTGTATTTTATCAGAAGGCAATATTTCATTTCAAGGACCATTTCAATCAATGTGTGAACGACATCAATTATGTTATGCATGTGTAAGTTATTGAAATAGAATAAGTCGATGATTTTTAAAAACGGTAACTTAGTATTTTTTATTTATTCTAGGGATTTGCACATAGTATCACAGAACGACAATGTAATAAAATAACATTAATGACTATGAATCACTTATGTTCTCAAATTAAATCATTATTTACATCTGATTGTACAAAAGAATATTTTTCAAAATTATCAGTCCTTCAACAATACGGTTATCGATCATCTAGTGACTATCTCGGATTTTTTTTTGAATGTCGTCAAGAATGTGTCTTGAATTATCTGCGTGCGCATTAAACTTTTCAAGAAGCATTCATGCTCTATTCAAAAATCAAATAAAAAGAAAAAAGAAAAATTCTTCATTATTCATATTTCATTATTCAATAGAGAAGAAATAAGAAAAGAATGAAATAATCATAATATATGCGTATGTATTTCTTCTGTGAAAGTTTTTTTATGTTATCATTCTTTGTACAGATTCATTATTTTTTCACGTTATACGTACGCGTGACAAAAAGAAAAAAGCGAACGAATAGTTTAGTCCACACATCGTATTTAAAAAAAAAGTATATGTGTGATCGATGGTGGAACAAAAAGAAAAAAAGATGAACAGATAAGTCAACAATTAACTGTAGGATTTTTTCAATATATGGAAGACATAGAAAAAGAAAAAGAGAGAAAGATTTTAGAGAAGTATAAGAACATATATCAATTAGGAAAAGGAAAAAAATATATATATATCTGACGTAACAATCAGCACATACGTACACACACAAATTTAACATCACTTGACTCCTTCTTTTACAACAGGTACAACAACAGGTGCCGGTACAGGAAAATTTTGTGGATCGAATTGTTTGAAATAACCATGATTAAGACATTGTTTGGCCGATATACGTCGTACCGGATCATAGACAAGCATTTTCTATAAAATCAAAGGAAAAAAACCAAATTCGATAATAAAACAATAAAGAAAGAAAATTTTAACGAACAAGAAGTAAATCAAGTGCATCATCACGCATTCGATCATTGAGTAATGATGATAAATCATTAATTTGTTTCCATCGTGGAAATGAAGATTTAAATTCCGGTAATGATACAACACCTGGCCATGTTTCATCTGTTGGTGTACCAAGTGTTCTAAAATAAACTATGAAAGATTGTTTTTCTATATTAAAAAACAAAAAAATTTACCGAAAAA